AATCATTGAGGCCAATTTCTAGCCATAGAATAATGGCGCGCGGTCATAAACGCCCCAACCGTGGAATGCTAAAAAAATTCTATGGCAAAAAATGTATATGAATGAAAAAATTACAAAAATAGTGTAGAAGTAAATCCAAAGATAAAAAAGTGGAAACACGAGGGGAGGAAGAAAATAGAAGTCGATAATGACGTGAAGTACTTCATACGTAGAAAAATTCATAGATTTTTCTTTAGAAATAAAATACAAACGATAAAGAAAATGCAAGCTGAAAACATTCCTTAATTTTCTGATAAAGTTCTTAGAAGAATAATCCGTGACATGAATTTTCGATATGTGAAACGGAATTGGAATAGTATGCTCGTTGAAAAAGACGAAACAATTGTAAAATGGCGAAGAGAATACTTAGAAAAAATAAGAGAACTTCGTGCATCTAGCATATGATCTAGCATCTAGTAATAATTAAGAGATACCTCTAATTACATGGATAGTTTACAAAAAGCGCGCATCTGTCAGTGTTTGAATTATTAAAAGTAAATCAATAACAGCTGTTTTCTCTAGTATGTATTTCAGTTCTGTACCTATTTTAATCTCGATTAAATGCGTAGTAATAAGAAAGGCTACAATAATAAAATAAAGTTAATTTTATATTAAATAAGTATTATGATTACAAACAATATAATAATAGAAAAAATGCTGCTACCATTATTATTAAGATTAGTGCTTTTCTAAACGCCTGGTAAATTAATGGAAACCTATAAATATAGCATCAGTTAGCTTTTTAATGAATTTAGGTAAGTATAAAAATGTGTATATTTATTCCGTAAAAAATAGATAATTATCCATCTCATAATGTCTTTTTGCATAATGGTTATATAACTTTGCAATTAAACATAATAGGTACCTACTTTTCTAATTAATTATTTGGTACAAAAAATATGTACACTTAATAAGTTGGTATGCACCTACATAGATATAATTTAGGTATACCTTTGAACGATGAAGTTGTTTCTGATAATTCAATTTTGAGGTAGGTACCTAATTTAAACAATTTTTATCACTCACTCTTAAGTAAGCTTACGAAGCTAATGTTTATAACAATTCTCTTACTAAGCTACTTGAACAAAAGTTTATAATGATTTTCTTTCAACAAGATGTGATTTATTTATTGAATTAATTATTTTAGGAATTCAAAATGAGTACCCCTTTAAGCAGAGGGTGTTCCTACAGTCCAACTGAATCTTTTGAGTATACCGCATTGCAATTTGCAGTAACAAGGGGATCTGTAGAACAAGTTAAGTAAGTACATATATACATATCTCTCTGTTAACTAATAATAACCATGTCGTTGTAGTATTAAGAGTCACCTAAATATACAGGGTGTATCTTAAGTGATGACTTTAATTTCAAGGGGTTATTCCTTGTCATATTTTAAGCAAAAAAGTGCATATGAACATCGGTCCGCAAGTGCACTTTTTTGCTTAAAATATGACAAGGAATCACCCCTTGAAATTAAAATCATCACTTAAGATACACCCTGTATACCTAAGTAGAGATTTATATTTTTTCCATTATCTTCACATTTCTTCATATATTAGGTGATTTAGAGTTCAAGAGTAACTGTAAAATAATCTATAAAAATATTTTAGATATTTAATAGAAAGTGGTACAGAGCTGGATGTAGGCCCAGACCCTGCTTTGCATCTAGCTCTTCGTAAGCGGCATAGTGCTATAGCACAGATACTAATTCAAGCTGGATCTGACTTTGAAATGAAGGATTCAGTGAGTTTACTATATATATTTTTTATACATATTGATTATTCTATTTTTATAGCATGGAGATTATCCAATTCATATAGCTTGTGCTCTGGGCCTTTTTGAAATTGTGCGTACATTATGCTCTTTAGGCTGCAGTGTAGAAGTGGCTACAGCTAAAGGCCTCTCTCCATTGCATTTAGCAGCAAAAAATGGTCACATATCTGTTGTTAGGTAAGCCTGATTTAATTTTCAATTAACTAAACAATTAAAAAAAAAAAATAATTTCCTGAGTACCTACTGAATTATTTACTGCACTTAATTTGTAAAGTGTAAAATTTTACCTTTATTTATTTTTATAGAGGTTGTCCCAGGTTTAAAAGTGACAAACTTTAATGGAAATTCAGTGCGACATATAAAATATGATGGCAACCTTGTTAATAGTCTGTGGCGGGGATTGTTGCCAAATTTCAAAGAAAATACATATTTTTACATGTTGATATTTCATCACATACAGGGTGAGTCATATAAATCGATGTAAAACATTTTACTGAGACATTATCTCCAGAGCAAAATAATTGGTCAAATAATCCTTTGTTCCAAAATGCCCCCTTAAAAAAATACAGAGTGAGGAAGTTCATAAATAAAAGAGTATTTTCTTAATATTTCTAGAACGGCTTAACAACCCTGGTAGCAAAATCTTGCAAAAGACACTTATACAAGACTGCTGAAATCAGCATCAGGTTTACCGCAAGATCCATTGTGCAATTGCCTTGATCAAAGTTTTCAATGGATTTGATTCAGGGCACTTAAGCCCAAAGAGGTAAATTTAAGCAAGTGACTATGTTGCAGACTTACATTAGAATTAAGTAAGATATATTGTACTTGACTTATACTAATTCACCCTTTTGGACTCAAGTACTTATTTGGTTAAGTCTGATGCAAGTATTGTAAAAGTATCTTGCAGAAGAAACGATATAAATTTCACCAATAGAAACAAAACAATCTGACACAATTTGGCTATTTCAAGTAAACTACCAGGGAAATTGTTATGAAATTTGGTGTACCTATTAAATGTTATTGTTAATTGTCTGCTCTCCTATGAGGAACCAGTAGAATACTAAAAGTCAGTGACACATAATCACCACTATGGGGAACTTAAAAAAAATATATTGCTCCGCTGACTAATATTGGAAATAATCCATTTTTTTAGATTTAGGTTTCATTTTACTTTGTATAAAAAACCTCATCTTTACATATTTTCAATAAAATGCTTAAAAATAATATGGATGTATAAAAACTTTTAATAGCTGTCTACTAAAATGATGTATTGAAACAATATAGGCTCATAATCGTTTATATTAGAATTAAACAACTGTTCCAGTAAATCTCATTTGCATCAACTAATTCATTCCTGTAAGTGTTCTCTACTGTTAATTACTATGTGGTAAATTCATTACCTTAAAAATTTGAATAAAAAGAAATGTAGTGGATTTAAGGCAGGACTTGGAGGCCATCTCACAGGATCAAATTGCCCAATTCTTCTACTACCAAAATGATTATCTAACCATTCTGTAATGAATCTGCCATTGTGATGAAGATGATCCGTCATGTTGGAAGACCATCTATTGTCTAATATTTAACGAGATGTTTTCTAGTACATCATGCAGAAGATGGTGTTCAAGAAAGTCCCTGCAAGTATTCATGTTCGTGTGATTATCGAGTTCTTGCAATTCCAGTAAAGAACCTTTGCAGATTCTTCCAAATATATTGATAGAAAATCGTTTCTGAAATCTTCTGCTTGCTTTAACATGTGGGTTATCTAATTAATAATGATGGAAAATTTGTAATACCATCTCTGGTAAAAATTGCTTCAACGATCCATAAAATAGGCAAAATAAAATTAATTAATTAATTAATTAATTAATAACTGACAAAAAAGTATATTTGCTCAGTATACCCAGGATGAAGAGCTTGAACACCTGTTTAGTAGTAAGGCTGCAAAGCTAGGCTTCCTGCATAAACTTTGTGAAAATTTTAATTGCATAGAAATTCGACACTTAGGATTATCTAAAATTGCATTAATTACGGATTACAACTACATCATTTTGTCTCTGCGGAGCTCCAGCTCCTTGAGATTTTGATATACCAAGCTCACTGTAGAAGGTGGAAGCAAATACCTGATGATTTGGGGTTCTTGTATTAGGGAATCTGCAGTGGTATTCTCTTAAAGCATTTGCCTGACAAAAGCTATACACATAAACGATCTCAGCTACTTCTCTTGTTGTAAAATTATCCATTTAAAAAAAAATGCATATGCGCGTAGATGAATTTTCAACAATTGTTTACTACATTTTAAAATGAATTGTTAATGACAGCAGGTGCTTTTGTCGCATATCAAAGCTTGGCTATATTATTTTAAGACACCATTTTGGTAGAGAAGTATTATTTGAGTAATTGTTTTTGTAAATCCATATTAATTTTTACTCAAGCATGAGTTTTAGTATTTTGCTGGTTCTTCACAGCAGGAGAGTTGAAATTGACAATGACATTTACTACACCAAATGTCAAAACAATATGATACATAATTTTGGAAATATTAAGAAAAATTTTTTTTTTGAACTTCAACACGCTGTATCTTTGTACAAAGGTTTATTTGACTAATTATTTTATTTTGACGAGAAGTTTCGGTTAAATTTTTTACACCTACTTGACTCGCCTCTATATCTTGTAACATTATGACATCCTCCTAGGACAACTAAAAAAGTAATGTTTTCAGCCAGTTTTCATGCAGAGTTTAATCTTGAACAAAATAGATAAAAAGAAAAACAAACATATTAATGTAAACATATATTGTCGTTGCGCCTTCAAGCACCTATTTTATCAGTATACATAAGGTATATGTATGCAAATTAACAGATGTTCATTAAAAAACCTTCTTCTGCAATATTTTTTAATCAGATGAGGCAATGAAATAATGTAAGCACTTTTATTATATTCATGGTCTATTTTAAAAGTTAACACACTGACTTTTAATTGATAAAAAGAGTCAGGTAAGAAAGCTACTAACGTTTTTAGAGAAAATTGAATGTGTCTATAAAGTTTAGTTTAGTTACCTTAATATGAAGCAGCAAGTTAAAAAACTGTTTCTTGGCCTTTTTTATTTAAGGATTATAACAATTATTTTTAATTTTAACGCAGACAGTCACTTTTCTGTAGAAAATAAGAAGATGGCTGTTTTTAACCAGATAATGCGGTTTGATATCGTTTATAGAATTCTGCACTTAACGCGTTTTGCTGAAAATATGCACATGTCGCATTTTGATGGCGCAATGACGATATACATATCTATATACAGGATGCCCTGCATAAGAACCGACACAGAGTAGGTGCATGTAGGTGTGCCCAAAATATTTTAATTACTCAATATACTTTACTTCGATTAATTATGTTTTTATTGAAAAAAAAAACAAGATTTATTAGTGCAAGGGCAATTTATAACCCTTAATTTTTTCGAAATTTGAGGCGTCACTTTGAAGGCGTACAGCTCCACCTGGATGCAATTTTGTATATAGACAGGTAAGTTGTACATCCATATCAGTTCTTATGCAGGACACCCTGTATATCGCCAAAAGTAGGTGCACATCAAAACTAAGTACCTATTAATAACAATGTTACATGACATTGTCTAAAATTCGGGTTTTAACACAACTTACTTCTACACTAAAGTGCTTCATTATTAACTGCTAGATGGCATTAAATTTGACAAAATTGAAACTAAACGTTTCTGATTTAAATGATATTTGGTATAGTAGTAGTAGTTTTATATTAAAAGTAAATTATTTCAAATTTTTTTCTTGTAATTTGTTTTATATTTTTAATGATTTTTGCATAAATAATTATTTTATTTCTTATCACCAGTGCATTTTTGATTGACTAAATTAACTACCACAAAAATTTTATTTATTTGATATTAAAAATTAATATTTTTTAGAATAGAGAAACTTTTAATCAAATATTCATTAATGGAAATGATCACGAATCTGTACGATATTTATTGATAGAATTCTAAGAAGACCCCTGCATGACTTTCTTTACTGTATTCAACACCCAAGGTAGAAAGACAGTGGTGGAAAATTTTTAGGCCCGCCCATGCCACGGTAAATTGTTACTGTGGGTCTGATAACAGAACTTTATTGGCTTATTCCTTTCTTGGAATTCTCTCAACAAATATCCTACAGACTATAATTCAGTTTAAAAGTAAATAGTAATTATACTCATCCCAGATTTCTCTCATTCTGTAAATTGTGATATCCAATTTGAATTTGTGATTATTTTTATTTCAAGTGTATTAAAGATTATTGGCAGAATAAAGAAAATCAGAAATTAATGGATTAATTTTTTTTAACCAAACCACATAAGCAAAATGGTGATCTTTTCATATTTGTTATCAAATATAAATGAAATTCATGATGATATATCAAGTACATACTATAAAGTAAAATAATGTTGCAAAAAATTTGACTCATATTTTTTTTTATTTTTGTAAGGTATCAGTTGGCAATTAAAAATGTTTAGAAGTGAAACGAATTTGTCAGACAACTGATATGCTAGAGCTAGACTATACTTTAATCGCTGCGTATATTAATAGGAAGCTCAACTAAAATCTTATACCACTGTCCTCTTCTTCTTTTATTTACTAATAAAGAGACAGAAAGATAAGAAATTTTCTATTTTCTTGTCTATATCTAGCACCTCACAAGTCGATAGCAGCGGAATACGATTCCAATACAATTTTTTAAAATCAAATAGAAATTTATGTAAGGAGTTATTAGCAAAATTGCTTGTACAGTTCATATTAACTTTCATTGTAGAATAGTATTTGGTAACGAAACACAACACATTTTTATGATGCACCCCAAAGCAATTTAGGGTTATAAACTCATTGGGCTATAAACTTTAATGCCATCTAACTTCTAAACAAATCAACTTAATATAGATCCACCTGTTCTGTGTGGGTCCTTAAATGGAACACTCTGTATAAAGTACACACTTTAGCTGTTCATTAATTTTGTCTTTACATGTTATTAAACATGTTCCAGGTGTCTTTGTGCAGCAGGTTGCAATATTGATGTACGTAACTATGACAATATTAGGGCAGACATAACTGCGCTGAAATATGGTCACAATGATATAGCAGAGCTTTTAGATCGTCTGCGTGCTACTGGTCAGAGGGACGTGTTTGCCAGACAATTGGTTCCTACGTCTAGGCCAGCTTTAAGAATATCGCTCCGGCTTTTAGGTCATTGTGGAGTTGGTAAAACAGCAGTTATTAAATCATTAGGAGCTGGGTTGTTTAGCTCGCTTTTTAGGAGATCCAGCTCCTTGCAAAGTAACAAATGTAAGTGTTTAATACAAAACGTAAATGTAGATATTATTAGGTATAACAATTACCATTTATGATGAAATTTCTGGCACATATAAGGGCATGCCTGCTTATATTTAATTGGTGATAGAAAATTGTTATTGGATAGGTAGTAAAAGTAATCTAAATTCATTTAAGCCCTGAAGGTAGGATGCGCAGTGGCAAAATAGTGGAAGGGGAACAATAGGTTACCTGCATTTCCATCTCGTCATAACGTACTTTACTTGGTTTTAATTTTGGTGGTGACGGTTTGGTTCAGACGTTACTTGTGGCCGCCCCTCGGTAGACTACCAACTCTAAACGGAATCTTAATTCGCAATTTCGAATTCTAATTTACTATATTTATTGACGTCACTGACGTCCCTGTTTGGACGCCTAATTTTATGACGACCCTTGACTACAAGTTTATAGGCAGCAGTGGTTGGCAGCTGGCGGTGGTGAGTGACGTCACAGGAACGTACTCCGGATTAAAATCTTTTTGTTCGGTTTGTCTCGGGCGCCAGTTTCCCTATCTTTTACGTGGGGGAAACTTCACGTGAACCCTACCCTCGGTTTAGAGTAAGTACTCGGGATATAGCTAGCTGCAGTGAAGAAAGTTTAAATCCAGGGGTCTGTTATATTTCTCTTACTTTTAATCAAAGTAATTCTCTGAGTATAGTGTTATTTCCTTTTAAAATAAACAGACTTATCAGTGTAGGTCACAAAAAGATACTGCGACTTTTTACTGATCGGAATTTATCAATCTTATCGGTGTTAAGAATGAAGACAACTGGAAATATATTTACTAGATTTATCTTAAAAATAATAAAATAGATTCTAATTACAATTATGATAACTAACTAAAATCAGAAATATACAAATAATTTATAAGCGGTGTAATCAAAACAAAATGGGTTAGAGCAATTATTATTTATGACGGATTTAAAATGCCTATGCGGTTTTTCGGTGCTGTAAATAAATACAAAATTAGCACGTAGTTAAATATCAGGACACAAAAATCGGTACGGTAGAAAAACGCAGTATTAGGCGCTTGGTTTACTTAATAAACAATCTAATACTTTAAGAAACAGTACGTCAAAATAATATTCGGTGCTAGAAAGGGAAGAACAAATAAGGTTACTAAATTACAGTAANTTATATTTAATTGGTGATAGAAAATTGTTATTGGATAGGTAGTAAAAGTAATCTAAATTCATTTAAGCCCTGAAGGTAGGATGCGCAGTGGCAAAGTAGTGGAAGGGGATAAGTTACCTGCATTTCCATCTCGTTGTAACGTACTTTACTTGGTTTTGATTTTGGTGGTGACGGTTTGGTTCAGACGTTACTTGTGGCCGCCCCTCGGTAGACTACCCACTCTAAATGCAATTTTGAATTCTAATTTAGTATATTTATTGACGTCACTGACGTCCCTGTTTGGACGCCTAATTTTATGACGACCCTTGACTACTAGTTTATAGGCAGCAGTGGTTGGCAGCCGGCAGTGGTGAGTGACGTCACAGGAACATACTCCGGGTTAAAATCTTTTTGTTCGGTTTGTCTCGGGCGCCAGTTTCCCTATCTCTTACGTGGGGGAAACTCCACATGAACCCTACCCTCGGTTTAGAGTAAGTACTTGGGATAGCTAACTGCAGTGAAGAAAGTTTAAATCCAGGGGTCTGTTATATTTCTCTTACTTTTAATCAAAGTAATTCTCTGAGTGTAGTGTTATTTCCTTTTAAAATAAACGGACTTATCAGTGTAGGTCACAAAAAGATACTGCAACTTTTTACTGATAGGAATTTATCAATCTTATCGGTGTTAAGAATGAAGACAACTGGAAATATATTTACTAGATTTATTTTAAAAATAATAAAATAGATTCTAATTACAATTATGATAACTAACTAAAATCAGAAATATACAAATAATTTACTAGCGGTGTAATCAAAACAAAATGGGTTAGAGCAATTATTATTTACGACGGATTTAAAATGCCTATGCGGTTTTTCGGTGCTGTAAATAAATACAAAATTAGCACGTAGTCAAATATCAGGACACAAAAATTGGTACGGTAGAAAAACGCAGTATTAGGCGCTTGGTTTACTTAATAAACAATCTAATACTTTAAGAAACGGTACGTCAAAATAATATTCGGTTTTAGAAAGGGANAGTAATAAATAATCAATAAAATACGTCGTTTCCAAATGGCTCTGAAACAGAGAAAAATAATTACGGGTTACCCTAATTCTACCAATAAATATTGGCGGCGGTTTCTAGCAAAGCGACGGAAATTAAGCGGAGGTGCAACCAGTCAAGGAGAAAAAGCTAAGCAAAGCAGTTTACAACGGGCATAAATAAGCAAACGGTAGTCAGGAAAATGAATTTGTTGGTTAACAGGAGGCAAACTCTGGGCGACGTGTGCGTTCAAATGTGGGGCAGGCGACAGATTTCTCCCAGAAGCGGTGGGGTGCCCAGCCAAACTTCGAGGGTCTATCCGTCGTTGCACAGCCGACACACAACATCTTCTACTAGCGGTGGGGTACCTAGCCAAACCAGCAGTTTCGGTAATTGTGCCTTACAGCGTTTATCAAGCTTGGGCGGTGGCATACCCAGCCAAACCTTCGCCGACAACGCTGCTGCTGTACACGTCGACACCTTCACGTCCTCTACTGGCGGTGGGGTACCCAGCCAAACCAGCAGTTTCAGTAAAGGGGCTCACAACGTTTGTTGAACGAGGGCGGTGGGATACCCAGCCAAACTGTCGCCGATAACGCTGCTGCCGTACGGACCTGCACTCAACGTCTTCCACTGGCGGTTGGATACCTAGCCAAACCAGTAGTTCGGTTGATGTAACGGACAACATTCGTCGAACGAGGGCGGTGGGATACCCAGCCAAACCTTCGCCGACAACCCTGTGGTCGTACTGTCTTGCCAAAGTTCAAAACGGCCAGACTTATACCATAACAGGACAAGCGAATATAGGAAAATACAATTTGCCTACTTATTCCGGATGGTTACTCCCAGTGGCTAACTCCTTGGGTCGGATGGCGGTCTCTGGTCAGTTTCAGGTCCTCGGGGTGGTCCTCAGGCTGGTACTGGAGTTCTTCGAGTTCTGGCAGCGAACTGAGGATTTTTGTCCAGGAAAGCTGGTTTTATTGCCTCAATCCCCCGTTAACTAAGTAGGAGTCTTGGTGGGATTATGCTCGCGGCCCTCGACAGAGTGGGGCAAACGGACGGTTCAGCTCGACTCGCGGATAATAATTGCTCTTGCCCAATTACGCTAATTAATAAATAAATGGCCCACGGCCTTGCATAAAACGGAAAATTTATACTGGTTCATTACATCGTTTTATCAAGTCTGCTTTCCTTTTCATTTGGACATTACAAGGCTGAAATGAAATTTGTTTAGTTTTACTGTCCTAACAACTAAACTGATACTAGATCACATCTTGCAATGTGCTTGAATTTATGTTGGGCATTATTTGCAGTAGATTAATAATATTTAAAGTGGTGCCAAGTATAAATTGGTATACCAAGTAATTTCATTATAAATATATGCTTTAATATTTTCATCTTATTTACCTTATTCTACAGAATTATTAAAGGTGACAGAAAGGTTATAAAAGTTATTTATAAAACTATAATCTTCACCTGTCAAAATTACTTTATTTGAAACCTCACTTATTGACCAAAATAGAATTCAGAATAGCTGAGATTAGCTGAGTAAATAAAACATGGCTAATATAAATTCAACAAATTCTCTGTAACCACATGAATCTGTCAGTATTGGTAACTGCTGTAATAAAAACTACTTAGTGAATGGCACATAAAATATTTTCTATCATGCGCGCTCGCTATGGGACATATAGTATAGGGGGTTAGGTGCACGGAAAGTGCTAGATAGTACAACAGCCTGGGGCGTTGCGCTATGAAAATAACATCACGCTGTTGTACTATCTAGCACTTTCCGTGCACCTAACCCCCTACACTATAGGTCCCATAGCGAGCGCCCGTGATAGAAAATAGTATGTGCAACTCGTTCAGAAAAGTTGCCATAGCGCCACGTGGGCGTTTTCTCTCGCTTCGCTCGTGTGTCAACTGCGTCCGCGTGGCGCTATTGGCAGCTTTTCCCCACTCGTTACACAATGTACTATAAAAAGCATATTCCAATAATAAAAATAATTTTTGTTTTATTAGAAAATAACTATGCATTTACATTTTTCCCATGCCTTCTCATTTTATGCTAATTAATTTGTATTATTATTATTTTTTTAATATTAACTTAATATTACTAATAATTCAGTAAACATATTTTAGCGAGGCCTTCTTCTCCTATAAATACACAAATTGAAATGGATGTTACCTCTAGACAAAATTCTTTAAGTTTTGAATCTACCGGAAATTATCAGTCAACTAATGGAATTCATGTACAAAATGTAAGTCAAGCTGTATTATTAATTAAATAAAACGATAGTAACAACTCTTTTTAATATTAAAATACAGTGTTACAAAAAGATAGGTCAAGCAGTTAACCATTTTGGACAAAAATAATAGGATTTTCATTACAACCATTTTCCATTTAAATGCTTCATTTTCATGATATTGGGTGTCAAAGTCAACAAGATTTTTATTAATAACTGTTTTTTAAGGTAGATATTGGATTGAAGTTTTGTATATAATATTTTCCCTAGTAACTTTTTATATAATCGTGGTTAAAAAAAATTAAAGTACGAATGCAAGAACGGGGGTTGAGTACGTTTTTTGTTACTGTCACGTGTACTTTTATTTTACATTAAAATCATTACGCTAATTCAAATTCAAAATATTTTATTTGAAATTTTTAAATTTGATTAGTAATTTGGGAAATTTTTTTAAATTAATCTTAATTAACCTTAAGAATGAGAAAGAACTTTTTTATTTATGCTATGTTTAGTCTTTAAAACAACTGGTGTATTTTGAAATATCAACTTTGATGAAATAAACTAATTCTAGAGAAATTAGACCTAAAATTAATTGTTTTGTGCAAAAAATAATAAAAAGAAAGTAGAATTAGGTTTGCAAAGTTAATTTTCTACTTAAATAATAAATATAAATTGAGGTAGAAACCCAAGGACATGTTTTTGAAGCTTAATCCCCCTTTCTTCAAAAAGTAGCTCGGTTTTGACAATCGGTGAACAATTTTCAAGTTGTCGGTTTAGACTTTTTGACAGTTCCAGTGACATATTGCTCTTTTCTTCAGTAAAATCTCTGAAATTGAAGACCGTCTTCTCTGATCCTTTGCTATGTGCTCTGGTCTATGCTGCTCTGCTACACGATTTATAGTCACTGGAGTTCTAATCCTTGATTTTTATGTACGAGTAATTATTAATTTGAAAGTAATTCTAAGGCTTCATTTCAGTTCAATTGTTTCTTTGAATTATCTCAAATTTAGAAATGACATATATAAATCAAGGATCAGAATGTCACAGACGTTGACTTCAAGTTGTTACCGTGATGCCATGGACCAAAAGCAAATAAACGGCTAAAGAACTTAGTCTCTAGTTTCTTCTAAAGAAAATGATGTCTCTTGAAAAATTAAGTCTAAACCGTAGACATGGCAACCAGCCTGGAAAATGTTCAACTATTAAAAGAAAGAGGTAAACCTAAATGAAAAAGCACATAAAAAAGTGCCATTATTTTTGCCCTCACCTACATTTTGTAACACCCCATATAAAATGAGATTGTTTATATTTTCATGTTTATGAAAACCTAGCTGATTTATTATTTTTTAATTTGGGATTAACACGTAATGAGTTTAGTTATGTTAATATCGATTATATTTTTTGGTATAGATGGACATATCAAGTGTTGGTGATATTACCATATGGGAATTCTCAGGTCAGGAAAGCTACTTTCCAGTATATCATCATTTTTTGTGGCCGTCACCATATACTATGACTGCTATATTGTTTAGTTTAGACGATTCTCCTTCTACTCAGGTACAACAAGTTTGTTATTGGTTAAATTTTGTACTTGCAAGACAATCTGCCGACCTACCCTCAAGTAAGTAGCAGATTTAAAAAAATATATATTATACAGCATATCTTGTATTCAAGTGGATACAGGAAGTAGAATCTTTATTTTTTAAATCTTTCTGTCAAATGGTATTTATTTTGCAAAAGCATGAAAAAGCAGTTTTAAAATATGTATAAAAAACAACCATGTAAACCGAGATGTAGACCATGGGAAAAACATGCAGTTGACAAATCAGATGAAGAAAATATATTTTACTGTTTTAAAATAAAAAATTATGTTATTGGAAATTCAAAAATGATTTATTGTGCAAATGTTAATTATTAAATCAAATTGTTTGCAAAGTTTAGAAGTTACCTTACAAACTGATGGTTTTTTGGGAAATAACGTTATTATAGTTTGGTATATCTTCTTTTAAAGCAGCAGAACAATTTTTTTTCGCCTGACGGTCAATAGTTCCTATGTGGTTTGTAGGTTTCCATGATAGTTCTGAATGGTCAAACAATTTTCTCCAGAAGAGATTTTGAAACTGGATATTAAGTCCTCTGGTTGGTATTTATATTTGCTGTGTACACTAGTCCATTGATTTTTGCAGATGAGTCATTTGACAAATTCCATGTAATTCTAATCCTTTCTGTCGATTGAAATTATCTCTATTATTCTGGATTTCTATTACTTCTCTGAAGAGTTTTGGACGAAATCTTCAGAGCTGCCACAAGAATTCTGGTTTTACATAGATCTGTTGTCTGTCCTATATCTGCCTTGTATTCCACAACTGCTGACTTTTCTACGATNGGCCCCCTCTTTCGGAGTTACAGCCCCCTGAAATCTGCCCCTAAGAAGTCTTTTATATCTCAAAATCCTGTTGCATGAGAATCACTAAATTTGGTACACAGGGGTTTTATGCCATGTGGAATCTCACAGTGCTACGCTTTTTGGCGAGAAACCCCCTTAAGACACTTTTTCGTGGGCTCCCTTGTCTTTGGAACCAGAAAAATTTGGTCGCAAATTTGATTTTATTTTAAATTATTAGTTAGCTAGATGCCATTGAAACTTATTTGTCTCTTGATATTTGTTTCGTAAAACGCAATGTTTTTGAGGAAAATGGCGAATTACGTTTTGCATTCGATCACATTTTGACATTTTTCTCGAAAACATTCCGTTTTACGAAAAAAGTATAAAGTGACAAAAAGTTTATAATTTTAATGGCTTTCTAGTGGACTGATAATTTTTAAGAAATTTAAATATGCGACCAAATATTTTTGGCTTCAAAGACAAGGGGGCCAACGAAAAATTGTCTTAAGGGGATTCCCCGCCAAAAAACGTTGCACCATTTGATTCCACATGTCATAAAACCCCTCTGTATTAAATTTAGTGATTCTCGTACATGATTCTGAGATATAAAAAAAAGATTATTCTTAGGGCCAGACTTCAGGGAGATGTAACTCCGAAAGATGGGGCCACTTGGCAAAAATAAAAAATACGGGTCCCCTAAATTTGTTCTAAGAACCTGTGACCAAATTTTATTGCATGAATTTCGGGACACCCTGTATATGACTTGTATTCCGCAACTGCTGATTTTTCTACGATGTTATTTTTTAAGTGACACTTGTGTTCCATTAACCTCGTTCTGGTGTGAGTGGTGTGTCTTCCCGTTTGTTCAATATGATTGCATATATACATGGAATACTGTATACACTGGGGCCTTAGAGTAGATCTTCTTGGGAAAGGTAGCCCCTATCTTCCTAGAGATGTTGTAGATAATATTAATATTTTCCTTAAGATGAGGCCTATCTTGTCAGTGCGTCCTTGTACCGTATGTAGTATGTATTCATTCTACATCTTTGTATCCAGCTGAACACATTGAAGTATATACATTTTAAACATTCTTTTTGTTTGTGCTTAGTGGAATATGGTCAAATTTTATTGATAGCAACACATGTGGATCTNTTCTTTGAATTATCTCAAATTTAGAAATGACATATAAAAATCAAAGATCAGAACGTCACAGACGTTGACTTCAAGTTGTTACCGTGATGCCATGGACCAAAAGCAAATAAACGGCTAAAGAACTTAGTCTCTAGTTTCTTCTAAAGAAAATGATATGTCTCTTGAAAAAATTAAGTCTAAACCGAAGACATGGCAACCAGCCTGGAAAATGTTCAACTATTGAAAGAGGGAAACCTAAATGAAAAAGCATATAAAAAAGTGCCATTATTTTTGCCCTCACCTACATTTTGTAACACCCCATATAAAATGAGATTGTTTATATTTTCATGTTTATGAAAACCTAGCTGATTTATTATGTTTTAATTTGGGATTAACACGTAATGAGTTTAGTTATGTTAATATCGATTATATTTTTTGGTATAGATGGACATATCAAGTGTTGGTGATATTACCATATGGGAATTCTCAGGTCAGGAAAGCTACTTTCCAGTATATCATCATTTTTTGTGGCCGTCACCATATACTATGACTGCTATATTGTTTAGTTTAGACGATTCTCCTTCTACTCAGGTACAACAAGTTTGTTATTGGTTAAATTTTGTACTTGCAAGACAATCTGCCGACCTACCCTCAAGTAAGTAGCAGATTTAAAAAAATATATATTATACAGCATATCTTGTATTCAAGTGGATACAGGAAGTAGAATCTTTATTTTTTAAATCTTTCTGTCAAATGGTATTTATTTTGCAAAAGCATGAAAAAGCAGTTTTAAAATATGTATAAAAAACAACCATGTAAACCGAGATGTAGACCATGGGAAAAACATGCAGTTGACAAATCAGATGAAGAAAATATATTTTACTGTTTTAAAATAAAAAATTATGTTATTGGAAATTCAAAAATGATTTATTGTGCAAATGTTAATTATTAAATCAAATTGTTTGCAAAGTTTAGAAGTTACCTTACAAACTGATGGTTTTTTGGGAAATAACGTTATTATAGTTTGGTATATCTTCTTTTAAAGCAGCAGAACAAAATTTATTCGCCTGACGGTCAATTGTTCCTATGTGGTTTGTAGGTTTCCATGACAGTTCTGAATGGTCAAACAATTTTCTCCAGAAGAGATTTTGAAACTGGATATTAAGTCCTCTGGTTGGTATTTATATTTGCTGTGTACACTAGTCCATTGATTTTTGCAGATGAGTCATTTGACAAATTCCATATAATTCTAATCCTTCCTGTCGATTGAAATTATCTCTATTATTCTGGATTTCTATTACTTTTCTGAAGAGTTTTGGACGAAATCTTCAGAGCTGCCACAAGAATTCTGGTTTTACATAGATCTGTTGTCTGTCCTATATCTGCCTTGTATTCCACAACTGCTGACTTTTCTACGATGTTATTTTTTAAGTGACACATGTGTTCCATTAACCTCGTACTGGTGTGAGTGGTGTGTCTTTCCGTTTGTTCAGTATAATATGATTGCATATATACACAGAATGATGTATACACTGCAGATCTTCTTGGAAAAGGCGGCCCCTATCTTCCTAGAGATGTAGATAATATTAATATTGTCAGTATTATTATTGTTAGTATTGTCAGTGCGTTCTTGTACTGTATGTAGTATGTATACATCCTACATCTTTGTATCCAGCTGAACACATTGAAGTATATACACTTTAACCATTCTTTTTACTTGTGCTTAGTGGAATATGGTCAAATTTTATTGATAGCAACACATGTGGATCTAACAAGAGCTGTTAAAACACAACAAGGCGAATGGATATGTCCGGATGCTCAAAAAACATTAGAAACAGTTAAGAAATTGCTTCCACATGTACCCAATTTGATGTCTAATGTTATAATTATGGATTCAAATGTCCCTGCTTCGTTTGCCTTTAAGCAGCTAAAAACATTATTATCTGGTTTAAAACAAGACTGTATCCAGGTAAGCTTTCTATTAAAAATGATTGTTTTTAATGTAACAATAAGTTTAAATTATGTAAAAGTGATATTAAAAAGACTTAACGCAACTATTAAAACTACTGCAAATATTATTGTAAAAGTTTTTTGTGACATTACTTAATTTATTAACACATGCAAATAAAAATGTATTTCTTTATTTCATTTAATTTCTGTGTATCTGATTTAGTTCATTTTTACAGGAAAAAGTTTATGTTCAATCAGTTTTTCATAAAAGAGGGACATATGACTTAATAACATCACAAAATTCAAAGGTATTTTGTGTGGCGTCCCAGTTCTTTGTGACTTTTATACATTGCAATAATTTAGATTTTTTTTAGCTTAGCATTTTTGAGGATAATTACAGAAAGTCTTGTAAAACTTTGTTTTGTTTTATGTTATTGTGTAAATAATTTGAGAATGATATAAAATGGTTTTTTATTTTATGCGAATAATTAAACCAAAATTAATTAAATGAATACATAGAGGGTGTAACTTTAAGTGAGGGGCAATGTTTTAGTTGTAATAGTATTTGTTCCCCTGAATACAAATCTGATTTTTTTTTTTCTAATGAAATAAATAGTTGAATTATAATTAATTTTTTAAATTGCACTTTAATCCTTGTGTATGCCGCCACTGTAATACTCATGTATTTATAACAAGATTGTTGGCAACCTACAATGCATGTGAGGGAGATAGTGCTGGTCAACATCAACGGTGACAAAGCAAGAAGTAACGAGTGCCAAAGAGTTTTGTGAATGCGCTGCGACTAAAGCGCGCCGTTATTTGAGGTTACACCAGCTTGTCCAGCGGCGGGGCCCGAAATTACTAAAAAAAAGGTTAAAAAAAATTAAGTTTTTGCGACGGAATTTGAAAAATTAAAGACAATAAATTAAAGGAAGCCTCTGTATAAATATGACCACCACTCAAAGTTACACACTTTGTATGAGCTGCTCTTTATTTTTATATTTACTAATAATTTTTTAAAATTTGTTAAATATTTTTAGATAAACGACTTTTTGTAAATGTCTAATTTTTTTTTGACGCCACAATTTTTTCATGTCTCAAATAATAAAATTTTATTCACAAATAATAATATATTAGCACTGTATTCAATTCCTTCAAAATATTTAACCTACCTTCTTCACAACGGAAATAAATTTTTGGAAAATCTTTCATAAAATGTAATATTAATCGAAAAAAGTATGTATATAAATATCTTATTTTTCTTGGACACTGAAAAAACAAATGTAGGTGTATATGTTACACCATTTTTCTTATTCTAATAAGTAGTTATTACTACTTTTCAGTTTCAGCCTGTGAATAAAATTTTATTGAACTGGATCTGTTTGATAAATATAGAAGCTAGTAATTAACAAATAACACTGAAATTCGATAAAAAAAATTAACTTTTAAAATTTTTTTTTATACATAAAAATATTTTCATTTATGGCTTTCTTAAAATGACAAAATGACATGTACAATATTATTTTATATGTGAAAAGTTTTATATTTGTCTTTTTTACTACTGTTTTTTTTTTTATGAAAACGGTCATATTTCTAATTTCAGTGTATATTTAAAAAAAAAGATGTGAAAAGCGCCTTTTAATTTTTGTACAGTTTTCTCACCATGTAAATAATAATCCTCGCTTAAATTGTACATATCTGACAATTCACTACATTTCTCAATAAGAGCAATGATTTGTATTTATATCCTTCAATAAATACCAATTCTTTCAGCAAACTATAGGTACATGGACTGGGCTATTAGAAAATACTTTGACTTGGTTAGTTACACTACAGAAAGATTTTGAACAATTTCCTGTATTGGCTCAGTCTGTTTTTGCTGATTTATTGAGGAATCAAGTAAATCTTTTAGCTTCTGATGATCACATTCACGAGTTGCTTCAGCAGCTTCATTCTATGGGTGAGGTATGTTCAGTTTGCAGATTCTTGTTTATTTTGTTTTTTATGTTGCATAACATGCAAAAAAATATATATTTTTACTAACTTCGAAGATGCACTGGTAATTAAGGCTGCCAGAGAGAGCCGCAATTCAATGGCGTTCCAAGTGGGTCAACTGAGACATGCGTGAGCCGCTGCCTCAGAATGCTTTTCACATTCACGTCATGTTAGTATACTATTGCCTTTGTTATTGCGCTTATGTTGTGTAATTAATTCCTATCTGTTGGTGTTTATGGTGGAGTATTGTGGATAATTTAATTTGTTGCTTTTTAATAAATAATGCTTACGCCTATGTCCCACGGCTCAGTTCTGGCAGCCCTATTGATAATCCTTATTTTTTTTATATAATGAAGTTTACAACTTTTTGCAGCAAAGCACAATTTGTATGAAATAAAGTGTTTCTGTGATTGTTAAACATGCTAATGGACAAAAAAATTGTCATATAGTCAGTGCTTTAACAAAATAGTAACAAACACATTTTATTAAAAACTTTAAATTATTTTAAATAATATTTTAAACTTCTCTGCATAGTAATTTTATTTACCTTTTTATTGTACAGGATGCCTAAAAAACGTCACAAGCCATAACTACGTTATTTATAGTCCCATTTTAAAAAACAAAAAATTGCACGAAATGGCTCTAAATACACTATAGGGGGAGCCTATTAGAGCTTATTTATTATTTTTTTTTTTAAAAGCGATAATCAACTTTTTTTTCAAATGTCAATATAGGTTTTTTTATTTATTATTGTGCAGATTTATTTTCTGAATCTAACGATTAACACCCTGTATTTTCATGCTTTTTCATAATACATGTTTCACAAAAGTAAACTTTATATACATCGTTGAATTCAGAATAGAAATCTGCACAATAACAAATAAAAAAACCAATATTGCCATTTTAAAAAAAGAAGTTGACTATCGTTTTTCAAAAAAAAAAAATAATAATAATAATAAATACACTCCAATAGGCTCACTCTATAGTGTATTTAGAGCCATTTCATATAATTTTTTGTTTTTTAAAATGATACTATAAATGACGGAGTTAAGGCTTAAACCTTTAAAAAAAAACATGATTGATCTCAGCACTCATTCAACTTTCGAGTATTTTTAGATGGAGATCTGTAAACATTTTATTTTTTGACGCTGATACAGTTCTACTATTTTTTGACAAGCTACAATTCCAGCAAAAGTATGAGAATTTAAGTTACATTTTAATGATTACCAGCGACATAGCTGGAGACAGAAAAATGTATGAGATCAAAAAGATGTTTTATCAACATAGTCCAGTTAGTAGAGGTTCGGACTGTGTCAAACCTTGTTAACCCGGAAATAACTACACAGGTCTATTTTAAATGATGAGTACAATAACAGGCTAATTTGCTGACAAAGTATTTTATCAGGAAAAAAAGTTATTAATTTAATTGTGAAAAAATTTTTTTTAGTAGTTTTCTTTAAATAACTCAGGGGGTGACTTTGTACGAAAAAATGCTTAAGATATGATTTTATTTGTAATAAAAATAGCTACAAAATGTCGGTGGCCCGATTACGAAATTTGCAATAACAAAGCCGAGAGATCGAAAAAACGGTATAAAACGTCAATTTTTTTAAGTTGCTGTAAAAATGTCAATTATAAACAAAAAGTGATAAAACTTTCGAAAACTATAGTTCAATATATATATATAATAATTGNACATAAAAATATTTTCATTTATGGCTTTCTTAAAATGACAAAATGACATGTACAATATTATTTTATATGTGAAAAGTTTTATATTTGTCTTTTTTACTACTGTTTTTTTTTTTATGAAAACGGTCATATTTCTAATTTCAGTGTATATTTAAAAAAAAAGATGTGAAAAGCGCCTTTTAATTTTTGTACAGTTTTCTCACCATGTAAATAATAATCCTCGCTTAAATTGTACATATCTGACAATTCACTACATTTCTCAATAAGAGCAATGATTTGTATTTATATCCTTCAATAAATACCAATTCTTTCAGCAAACTATAGGTACATGGACTGGGCTATTAGAAAATACTTTGACTTGGTTAGTTACACTACAGAAAGATTTTGAACAATTTCCTGTATTGGCTCAGTCTGTTTTTGCTGATTTATTGAGGAATCAAGTAAATCTTTTAGCTTCTGATGATCACATTCATGAGTTGCTTCAGCAGCTTCATTCTATGGGTGAGGTATGTTCAGTTTGCAGATTCTTGTTTATTTTGTTTTTTATGTTGCATAACATGCAAAAAAATATATATTTTTACTAACTTCGAAGATGCACTGGTAATTAAGGCTGCCAGAGAGAGCCGCAATTCAATGGCGTTCCAAGTGGGTCAACTGAGACATGCGTGAGCCGCTGCCTCAGAATGCTTTTCACATTCACGTCATGTTAGTATACTATTGCCTTTGTTATTGCGCTTATGTTGTGTAATTAATTCCTATCTGTTGGTGTTTATGGTGGAGTATTGTGGATAATTTAATTTGTTGCTTTTTAATAAATAATGCTTACGCCTATGTCCCACGGCTCAGTTCTGGCAGCCCTATTGATAATCCTTATTTTTTTTATATAATGAAGTTTACAACTTTTTGCAGCAAAGCACAATTTGTATGAAATAAAGTGTTTCTGTGATTGTTAAACATGCTAATGGACAAAAAAATTGTCATATAGTCAGTGCTTTAACAAAATAGTAACAAACACATTTTATTAAAAACTTTAAATTATTTTAAATAATATTTTAAACTTCTCTGCATAGTAATTTTATTTACCTTTTTATTGTACAGGATGCCTAAAAAACGTCACAAGCCATAACTACGTTATTTATAGTCTCATTTTAAAAAACAAAAAATTGCACGAAATGGCTCTAAATACACTATAGGGGGAGCCTATTAGAGCTTATTTATTATTTTTTTTTTTAAAAGCGATAATCAACTTTTTTTTCAAATGTCAATATAGGTTTTTTTATTTATTATTGTGCAGATTTATTTTCTGAATCTAACGATTAACACCCTGTATTTTCATGCTTTTTCATAATACATGTTTCACAAAAGTAAACTTTATATACATCGTTGAATTCAGAATAGAAATCTGCACAATAACAAATAAAAAAACCAATATTGCCATTTTAAAAAAAGAAGTTGACTATCGTTTTTCAAAAAAAAAAAATAATAATAATAATAAATACACTCCAATAGGCTCACTCTATAGTGTATTTAGAGCCATTTCATATAATTTTTTGTTTTTTAAAATGATACTATAAATGACGGAGTTAAGGCTTAAACCTTTAAAAAAAAACATGATTGATCTCAGCACTCATTCAACTTTCGAGTATTTTTAGATGGAGATCTGTAAATATTTTATTTTTTGACACTGATACAGTTTTACTATTTTTTGACAAGCTACAATTCCAGCAAAAGTATGAGAATTTAAGTTACATTTTAATGATTACCAGCGACATAGCTGGAGACAGAAAAATGTATGAGATCAAAAAGATGTTTTATCAATGTTTTGTCATTTTGTTGTCATCACAACAATAATTTCACATATCATTGCTACTCAAAAAAATATTGATTGAACCTAATTGAAGGGATTGTCTTTAAAAATGTGTAAAATAAGTGAGAAAAAAATAATAAGTTTCATCACCTTCTCCATATTTTTGTTCAAAGAATTAATTACACGTAAAATTTTATCGGTGCAATATTACAAAACTCTGTAACTGTGAAAAAAATTGTTTCTACAAAATTCTTATAACAATGCAACAAAAATATTAATTTCCTTGCAATACAGAGACGGTTAACTATTATTTTCAGGTGTTTTGTATACAAGACTTAGTTGTTATATCTGTACCGTGGCTGGGAAATCAGTTGATAGGAGAACTGCTTTCTACCCAATTTTTGTTACACGCTAGAGTGACCGGAGTGTACACCATAGAAGACTTCCAGGCCAGTTTTAATCAGTGTGATGCTTTGGGTGTTTTAGATTTACTAGAAGCTTTAGATCTATGTGTACAGGTATAAGTGGTTAAATACAAATTATAGTGACTTTGTAAATGGATCTTATTACTCGCTTTCAGTGCGATATAGAGGGTGAAGTTGAATATGAGTTTCCCATATATAATCACACAGAAACGCTAGAAGGGTTGTGGGATGCAGGTGATCCTAGATATTCTGAAAATTCAGCATGTTATGGTGGCATTCGACTGTACACATCCCCAGGGACTTCTCATTTGTTGAAATCAGTTTTCCCGCATATTCAGGTATAAAAAAAATCCCTATTTTTTCATAGAATAAATATAAATATCTTTCTGAATGTAATATTAATTCATTTTATTATTTTTCGTGAATTATACAGGGTGATTTTTATAGAATATAACCAATTTTAGATGGAAACAACTTTGTACCAACATATTTGTTGTCCAATTTAATTTGGGTCTTTCTTTATAGAGTTAAAAAACTCATACATAAAATTTAAATTTGTTTTCAGTTATCAATGACTGTAATTTTTTTTTTTTTTTTTTTTTCATGTCAAAGGACCACACACGTTATGGAAATTTTTTTGAAACTTTGCAAAATGATAGTTCACAACACTTTGATCAAAAGCGTCAATAGGCACGAAGCTCTAAAATCATCCACAAAGGTCGGGAAAGCACGTAACATGCTATATTGGTGGATCGCCTAAACGAGCCTTCCATTCCCTACCCCCTTCTCACTTTTGCACTTACCAAAGCCAGCCATGTACCTTATTACTTTTTACTAGTTGTGAACTCATTTGATTGTGCATTTCATCCTACAGCCACTGAGACCATCACTTCACACGACTTCAAAACCCCGATAATTATTATACCCCCACTCCCAAACCTCACAATACCACCCCCTACCAAAGCCCGCACGCTATGGTTTTACCGCGGGTTATGAAACCATTTGATGATGTATTTTATCTCACAGTGATCTAAACCATCAGTACACAAACCCCTTCGGCCCCTGAATTACACCCCCATCCCAACCCCTCAAACAGAACCCCTTCCAAAGCCTGCCAAATGATTGTATATCTTACGGGGAAGCCTAGTAGATAGATAGATCCCACTACAGTAGTAAAATATATCGGTTAGGCAATCCACCAATATAGCCTGTTACTTGCTTCCCCGACCGTTGGTTTTGGGGGGTTGGGGGTGGTTTTAGAGCTTCGTGTCCATTGAGACTTTTGATCGACGTGTTGTGAACTATCATTTTGCAAAGTTTCAAAAAAATTGCTGAAACCCATTTTCCACAAGAAACGTGCGGGGTCCTTTGACGAAAAATTGGTAAGCGATTTTTTAAATTTAAATATTGATTACAAACTCGATTCTGCTCCCCCTCAACTGAGTTTGTACCAAATTCCACGAAAAAATATTCATTATTGTAAATTTAAATTAATATTTTATAATTTTATCAACAGAAAAGAAATTATGGGGAAAATACAATATTAAATTTACAATTTGGAAAAAATATTTATGAAATTTGGTACATACCCAATTGAGGGGTATGGAATCCAGTAACAGTAAAATTTTAAATAAAAAAGTTGCTAATCAATATCGGTCAAATTTGACAGTAAAAAAAATAGTAGGCTTTGATACCTGAAAATAAATTCAGACTGTGTTCAGGAGGTTGGACTATAAGTATCTCCGTTTAAAATTGGCCAAACCATATCTTGGCAATTGAGTTTCGCTTGAAAAAATGATAATTAAATTTTGAAAATGGTTTACGACAGTGACTGTAACTTAACATAACATTCACATAGGTTGAGCTACGAAGAGCAACACTATCTAGCTACAGCAACAATGATGGCGACTCAGACTTATACCAGTGGTACTTAGGTTCAAAACTGTGCAATTTAGACCTTGAAAGCCTCATTACTCTGGAAGAAGATGAACGTAGCACCCAATTTATAGAAGTTAAAATAAGGGGACCAACTGAAACTGCGAAATCTTGTTTTTATTTTCTGGAACAAATTATGCTTACAATTGCACAGGTAAGTTAATCCATTAACGCTCAAAATTGGATGTTCGAGAAGGTATCTTTGAACAAGGAGCACCATTGCACTCGGGCGAGGAATTAAATCAAACCTACTAGACTAAATGTTGGAGATGCTCTTTTAGATGGTGCCTACAGAATTTAATAAAAAAATCATTCAGACCATAAAAATGGACTTCCAATTTGAAAAACACTCCTATTTTCAATCTATGTTTCGAAGACTTTATTGCTAACATATGTTNGGAGAGCAATGTTTGGTCAGCTTGATCATTCAACAAGTAAGAAGAAAAACCCAGAATATTAAAATCGCCTAGAATAATAATATTAGAACTATACAATGGCTCAAGCGACGCAAAAGCCTCAAAAAGACTATCATACACAACATAACGAGAGCCTGGCGGTATATAAACATTGAAGATGAAAAAATAAATAAAAAATAAAATATCTTACAGGGAAGCCTAGTAGATAGATAGATCCCACTACAGTAGTAAAATATATGGGTTATCGTGCCCATTGAGACTTTTGATCGACGTGTTGTGAACTATCATTTTGCAGTTTCAAAAAAATAGCTGAAACCCATTTTCCACAAGAAACGTGTGGGGTCCTTTGACGAAAAATTGGTAAGCGATTTTTTAAATTTAAATATTGATTACAAACTCGATTCTGCTCCCCCTCAACTGAGTTTGTACCAAATTCCACGAAAAAATATTCATTATTGTAAATTTAAATTAATATTTTATAATTTTATCAACAGAAAAGAAATTATGGGGAAAATACAATATTAAATTTACAATTTGGAAAAAATATTTATGAAATTTGGTACATACCCAATTGAGGGGTATGGAATCCAGTAACAGTAAAATTTTAAATAAAAAAGTTGCTAATCAATATCGGTCAAATTTGACAGTAAAAAAAATAGTAGGCTTTGATACCTGAAAATAAATTCAGACTGTGTTCAGGAGGTTGGACTATAAGTATCTCCGTTTAAAATTGGCCAAACCATATCTTGGCAATTGAGTTTCGCTTGAAAAAATGATAATTAAATTTTGAAAATGGTTTACGACAGTGACTGTAACTTAACATAACATTCACATAGGTTGAGCTACGAAGAGCAACACTATCTAGCTACAGCAACAATGATGGCGACTCAGACTTATACCAGTGGTACTTAGGTTCAAAACTGTGCAATTTAGACCTTGAAAGCCTCATTACTCTGGAAGAAGATGAACGTAGCACCCAATTTATAGAAGTTAAAATAAGGGGACCAACTGAAACTGCGAAATCTTGTTTTTATTTTCTGGAACAAATTATGCTTACAATTGCACAGGTAAGTTAATCCATTAACGCTCAAAATTGGATTTTCGAGAAGGTATCTTTGAACAAGGAGCACCATTGCACTCGGGCGAGGAATTAAATCAAACCTACTAGACTAAATGTTGGAGATGCTCTTTTAGATGGTGCCTACAGAATTTAATAAAAAAATCATTCAGACCATAAAAATGGACTTCCAATTTGAAAAACACTCCTATTTTCAATCTATGTTTCGAAGACTTTATTGCTAACATATGTTCTTAACCCTTTCACTGCTCCAGACGTATATAAGGCGAATTTTTGCGGGCGAGCTTATACCGATTGTGACAAATATTTTTATGGAAAGAGGTACTGGTAATAATACCAAGATTGTTCATGTTTCTTTCAGTTTCTATTTAGTATATATACTGTATTTTATTCAAAATAAAATCGTAAAATTTATCTTAAATCGTAATTTAACACAACATAATGTAAAACTATAAGTGGTCTAACTGCTCCAGAAGTATATATTCGCACGCGATAAACTTTCGCGCACGGCGCGGTAGCTACGTTCATATGTATTGCGCAGCGAAAGGGTTAAAACCAATGCATCAATTTAGTCACTTGATAATCCAAAATGTCATCTGAACCGGAAAATGGTGCCATCAGATTTTTATGATTTTTACTCGAAAAATGCCAGTTTTCTTAAAAATGTTAAGACAGCAAAAAGTCTTAGAATCAGTCAAAGAACACATTGGAATTTACCCAGAATGGGAATTTGGACCATTTTTTAAATTTTTCGCTTAGCTAATTTAGATGAAATTGATAGTCTCAGAAAAAAACGGGGAAAAATTCCTGAACCTTCTTTGGATTCTAAATACTTTTATCTTTATCTCATGAATACTGTCAAGATTTGGTCCAAAATGGCCAACATTCCAAAATTTTGGACAGTGATGAAAATCTAGGAAAGAACATTGGAAAAAATTTCGACTACCTATTTCTGATTTTGAATATTTTCGTTACTATCACACTATTTGCTCCTTTACCTGAAATTAATCAATTCTTGTTAATCTTGATCCAAGAAGAACCCGCCTTTTTTGAGTAAAACTATCGTAAAATCTGATGCTACCATTTTCCGGTTCAGCCGCCGTTTTGGATTATCAAGTGACTAAATTGATGCACACATCATAGATCCTTTAACTTGAGAGACTTTATGAACAGTTCCCACTAGTCTTCCCACTTTACTTTAGCAATAAAGTCTTCAAAAAATGTAGATTGGTAATAGGAAAAAATTTAATGTTTTTCAACATGGAAGTCCGTTTTCGTGGTCTGAATCATTTTTTTTTTAATTCTGAGTGCAGCACATGAAAGAGCAACACCAAAAAAAATATCTAGTAAGTTTGATTCCCCGCCTGGATGCAATGGTGCTCCTGATTCAGAGATACCCCCTCCAAAATCCGATTTTGAGCATTAATAGGTTAATAATCAGTGGTTATGATGTATTACAAATATCGTTAACAATTTTTAGTCAATTTATCACGTTTGTCCGGGACTGCTAATAGAAAAGCATATTTTAAGTCCTTACGAGTTAAGGATGCACGCATTGGATCCTTTCTGTTACGAACCGCAGTCCGTAACCTCGGCTATGTTAGAAGCTGAATCAACGTTAGATCTTACACTTTTAAATCAAAATGTTAACATACTCGAAACCATAGTACAACTTATCATGTTTGGTAAGTAACATTAGCATTATACAGGGTGGTACTAAAGTGTCTCCCGATATTTTCAGAATGGATGCTATTTTAAAAAATAAGTGCATCTTTTTGTATAATTTTTCTGAATATGAATAAGATTAAATCCTTTAACATGTTCACTATTGCTTCTATTTTTAGAGATTTATTAATTTGACAGTACGGGACAAACACATAAGTGTGTCGTTGTAGTTGAAAAGAGAAAGTTATTTTTCATTTTATGAAAAAAAGTAGTTCCTGTTAATAAATTGTGCTTGTGTTCAAGTATACAAAACTCTAATATTAAATCAGCCAACATTGGGTAAAACATAGACATATGTAATATGTCCTGCAGAATTAGAATATGCAATCAGAAAAACAATTATCAATTTAAAAAAAAACATGTTGAAAATTTTTTTGCATGCATGCATTTATTCAATTTTTTGTTTCACTGGAGATTAATGGACCACAGTAAAACCGTAGCTGGTTAGAATCCCGCACACCCATGGATGTTAGTGATTGTTAAGGTGGAGGGTAATGTAAGTCAGCAGGCAAAAAGAGTCAACCGTGTCCCAATTGCTGGTAACCTTCATGACCTTTGACATTTTGAGGAGTGAATCTACTTGGTTAAAAAAATTTTGTAACATATTTTGATGTATGAAAATTTAAGTAGATCTTGAAAAATAAATTAATTATCTTCTGTAACGGTAAAGTGCCTTTTTTGTATAAAATATGTCCCCATATTGCAAAGTTTAAAGTTCTCCATCCTGTTGGTAAAGGGCCTTTTTGTGTGAGAAACTAGAAAAAAAATTTTTAGTTGAAGATTAAAATGTATGTTAATTTCTTAAAATTGTTGGCAATCGGTTTTAATTTATTTTATTATCTTCAAATTATAGACAAATTTTAATTATGAATAACTTTTCTCAATATATTTTTATGATACAATATACAACTGGTACAATTAAAAAACCGATAATAACCCTACTAAAAGCAGCATGAGTGCTAGGATTTAGCAGATAGCAGATTCACCCTGGAAATAATGTGGAAATAATTTAGGCACACCCTGTATATTATTTTGATTATAATCAAGTTAGCACATTCATAAAACAATTTACAAACTGAGGTATTTTGTCGAGCAAATAATAGTATTGTTATATTAGGATTAAAAGTGTTACTTTTGTGGCGAGCAAATTTTGTATTTTGAGAAGAAGCATAGCTGAGTGGATACAAAATTACGAGACAAAAAAGACACTTTTAATTTGAATAAAAATGCTATTTTTTCTCCAACCCAAATCCCCCATTTAATTATTTGTACTTTAGGGCCGGTACTTTTGAGTCTCGGTTAAGCATTGGTTCAGTAATCACATGAATAGACTGTACATATACTAATTTATTTTATAATAGTATATTCACAGTCTAATCGCCTGATTAGTTAATCAAGTCTTAACTGAGACTCAAAGTACCGGGCCTTAATCTATGGATTTAACGTGTCAATTTTAGCTCCTAGGATTAAAAGTGAATACTTTTAAAACGTCAATTTCTGACAGTCAAAAAATGTCATAGTTTTGTGACGGAGAAAAATAGTGTTTACTGAGATAGGTTTGTCTCTTATATCATTTTCAGATGATGTCGAACTGGCAAACAATATTCAGTGGGGATGTGCTCTGAAAGTGCAAGACCTTCCTGCTCCTGTAAAATTAAAACTATGCGGTTTGTTAGACCCACCGGAACCTCATGGGAGGGACTGGTGTTTACTCGCTCTTCGATTAGGGCTGTGCCAAGAAAAGATAGCCGCGCTTGATTCTCAACACTCCAGTCATACTATGAGACTGTTAACTACGGCAGACTGTTCTATAGGTAAAATATATTATTTCAGCAGCCCTGAATAGTAAAAGTACAAAAATTACAGTTTTCATAATTTAAAATTATAGTTCAATTTGGTTCCTAAAAGCACTATGAAATTATTGAAAGGTTTATACCCTGGTAATTTTGATGCTATATTGTTTCATCTGTATATAAAAATTTATCATATTCATATGTATCAAAATCACACTGACTAATTTGTTTGCATTGTGGTTTTATTTCAAAGTTGTCAATGAAACAATCCTCGCTTTTTAGTGGTTTTAAAAATAGTTTTTAACTAGTTAGGGACAAATTTTAGGTATTTTTACTTCTAATTTTTAGGATAGCAATTATTTTTTATACTTATGGGTGTTTGGTTAAGAACAGGACACAGTTTAATGTAATATTCCTGGGGTAAAAATCGGGTCCTTGGGGATACTATTTACATACTTAGGATGATTGAGCTAAACATGCCATAATCAAATGTTGCTACTTTAACAGCAGCACGTGGTAAAAATACGGAAGATGGTATTAGTACTGACTGCGACACAATTTGCATTGAGCATTTAGAAAATATGTTTTTGAAAAATCTATATTCAGGTGCATCTTTAAGCTGATCTTGATAGGATAAAATACAACGAGCTTCTCAAATATAGTTCAAGTTGGATTCAAAAATGTTGAGCAATCTCTCAGATAGGTTTTAGAAAAATAACGTCACAATTTTATACCGGCATGGTTGATAGAATTTCTCAAGGAAAAAAATAAATAGAATTTTATAGCACCTATTTTATATTAGCAAATTCAACTCCTTTCGCGCTATTGCTATTATTGATTAATAAAATTTGTGGTTTTAAATAATAAAATAATTTGACATACCTGATATTACAACTGTTCAAAATTTTGTCCACCAACGTGTAAACCCAATTAGGTCCATCTTACTCAGTTTATACAAACTAACACAAATGTCTTGCTTCACCATAGCACAAATGCTTTACGATAATACAAATGATGTCTTGCTTCACCATAGATTAAAACGATATCCATCAACTCTGAGTTGCCATACACGCAAGCTATTTTTGACACTAACTACTAAAAAGCTATTGTAAACACTATTGCAACGACGATTGTAAAATCGGATTTCAGTATTCGGAGTCACTGAGGACACGTGGTTCTCCACGCATATTATGAATGGCGTTAGAGACTACAGTTGTTCAGCTATGTAATGGTTGAAAGCACTACAACTTCAATAATTTCTTTCTCGGAAACTATAAGAATTTTACATAATCTATTCTCAATTTTTTTTGGATAAGATGTGAATCACCCTCTATACAGGGGGTCCAGAAACTAAACTGACAAATGAAAACAGCCAATTCTAGGGATGATTTCATATTAATTTGGCTCTTTGAAGATGGCCCTATGACAGCGGTCTTCAAACTTTTACGACTTGTAGAACTCGGCCAACATTTCTATTTTTTTGAGAAACATCCACACCTAAAATAATTTTCGAACACATTTTTTACTGATTATATAATACACCAGCAAGCGTAACGCCTTCTCGTAGTCGCAGTGGCAGAAGGGAAAGGCGAAGTAACCAACGCGAAAAATGCTGCGTCAGTAAGTTATAAGCCGATTTGCTTGCATTTGCATCAATAGATAAAGAAAATTCTTTCTTGTTAAGCTCTTATAGTAACATATGTGCGTGCACTTATAAAAATAAATAGTGTTAAGAGTACAATTTTTTTTTTAATTTTGTTGTATCGATATTGTTAATTTTAAAATTTTGAATTTTTGACTCAGTCGCAGAATTCTCAGAGAGATTATGGGGAACCCCAGGGCTCCGCGAAACACAGTTTGAATACCGCTGTCCTATGACTTTTTTTTTTAATTGTTTGGATTGCTATTTATCTAGAAGGATCAAACTTAGGTTATGTGTTAACTCTTATACGGATAGCCTTTTGATGTAAAAATGATCTTTTAATTGTAACCATAGGTGTCACTTTGGGAGGGCCAGCTGATATTTTCAATTATATATATTTTATATTATCTTCGACTTTTTGGTATTTATAATACTAAGTTGAAACCTTCAGAGTATCCTAGAATAAAGAGGTCTTGTCTTAAGCGGCTAGGGTGTACTGTATGTGAGCGAAATCTATTTGAAATGTTTGTTTTTTTTAGCACGTTAATTACCTAATTACAAATTCTTTGCAAATATATAGTAGTTGGCTTTGGAAAACATAATCAATTCATAATCACCAACATTAAATAACAAATCATTAATGAAAGGAATGAATAATAAAGGTCTTAATACAGAGCCTTAAGGGACACCACAATTAATAGTCAACTTTTCCAATTTAACATCTATTTTAATCAAACTGAAATCTGTTATCAAGATAACTTTCAATCATGCACTTAGTCAGAAATTTGCTTGGTTGAAAAGCGGAGAAGCAAATTTTGTAGAGTAGGGCTGAACTTTGTAGAAAATTACGTGACACCCATGGCAGTAACCATACAATTCAATTTTATTTCGAAAACATGATTTTTTCTACTTTTAACTAGTATATCAATTTTACTTATTTCATTATTTTTTGTCCCAATTGTAGATATGTGAACAAAATTTATTAGATCATATTAATCTACCAGGTAAAAGTAGCATCCTCTACTTATAAGCAAAAAATGGTTGTGATTCAATAGTTCTAGAAATAGTGACGACTAATTTTTTTTTAAATTTGACAGAAGAAACAAGACATGTTTGGTTCAAACGCATTATTAACTTCAGGAATCTCCCATTAGGCTGTGTCCCATTCTTAATTAAACACCCTGTATACTTATTTCTATTGTTCTGCAGGTGCTCTGATTTCCAGTTTGCATGAATTAGACCGACTAGATGTTGCAGAAGTGGTACTACGTTCCGCTCCCATTTTTAAAGTTGTAGAGCATGTCAATGTTTAGAGTTAGCTTTATATAATAAAAACATAGGTGGTTAAAGAAGTCTAAAAATGTGTAAATAATAATATTAACACTGATATCATTATTTAAATTTCGTAATTAATCTAATCGGGGCTCGTACAGTCATGAATAGTGAATTATGATTTGTGAATTGTTGAGATTGGCTAATTTAAGTGAAAAGATGGCGTTTTCCCTTAAATCGGTCGATGGAAATAATACTCACATTTCACAATTTGTGACTGTGTGAACGTACTTCATAATGTATTTTATGTGGTTTAAGGGGGAACATTCGATTAGACAGAGGAAAAATCTCAAAACCTATCTGTTCAATTTTATCAAGGTTTATTTTATTCCAAAATATGCATGTTGAGGTATGCTGACAAATTTCTTTATAAATATACATCGACTGGGAGTACTGCTGTCACAACCGGTATAGAAAATGTTCCTCGCTCGCACGATGCCGTTCCCAAGATTACATGCAGTCGGTAGATTTGATTTCAAAAGTTTCTCAAAATATAATGTATGATGTCCAACATAGGAGAAAACAATTTTTTTACATGAAATGGTGGCCGACTGAATTTTACATTCATTTTTCAACCTTAATTTCAGATCTTTCTGACTTGATAAAAAAAATAAGTACAAAAGAATCCTATGTTCCGAAGTAGAAAACCTGCTCGAAAAGCAATTTGTCCGAATATTCTGGGAACCGTTTTTGAATAATATGTTTTGAGATAATCGCATTCATCACTTGGCCTTTGTCAATTCTTTAATTGATGCGCTTGGGAACTTGGTCGCTTGTCGGCTTCTCGGTAAATCGCCCATAACTTTTACAGTTCTTGGAATACCAAGATAACTTTTATACAAAATATCCTTCATGTTCCAAACTTGGGGATTTTTTTTTGGAAAAATCGATTTTTATAAAAAATTCATAATTTCATAATTTACAATATATTGAGACTTTTTTTTACTTTACCATTAATGTGCGATTCCTGGACCAAAGGGTAGACCCTCCGCAGCACTGGCAGCATTCTCTGCAGTGATCCATGACTGCCTTCGCTCTTTTCACTTGTGTTATGACTTCGGTGGTACAGTGCCGGCACTTTGAAAGTGGACGACTCTTATAAGTAAATTGTCTATAACTGGCCTTTGTGAAGCTGACTTTGAAAATGTGAGATTCAAATCGGCTGTCATTATGTCAAATTTAATGTGTGTCTATCATATTAGTTCTAGTGAGCAAAACAAATCCAAATTAGGCAGCAAATTAATTATTTTTCCAATACTGAAATATATTATACATTCTAACAATCATTCATTTGCCGTCAACGAGATCTAAAAATGAAACACTTTTCGTCGTCGTCAAAAAAAAAACGATTCGTAAAGTTAGTATTTTGTCCTAGCACCATTTTTGTCTATAACACTGCAATCTACATGGCATTGATAAAATTAATGTTCTTGTTATAATCCTCAGTGATGTTATTCCATGCGTTTTCAATTGCCTCCCAAAGTTTTTCGACGTTAACTGGACGGAAGTTTCTGTCGTAAATTTTTTTCACTATATATCCCCAGGACTTTGAGGGTCAAGGTCCTCGGCATCGAGGGCATCGATGTTGTTTTCAATGTTGTTTTCAATTAACCATTCTGACGCAACTCTTGAGGTCTGAATTGCACGATTATCCTGCTTGAAAGTGAAATTCTGAGTATACAGCATGGTCACAACAAACATCAGGACTTTGGCAGCTTATCCAAGCCCAAACGTTAATGTGCGCTGCGCTGTGTGGCTTTCACATAAGGCTCCGAATACCTTATAATCTCTGGTGGGTAGACACAGACAGAAGCATCGGAGCAAGACTGAAAACTTTTTTCGTCCGAAAATATAATATTCTCCCAGAAGTTGTCTGGGCTTCCTACAAATTGTCTTGCAAACTCTANAATATTTCGAAAACTAATCATGTTAGCCTTGATTTTTTAGAATGTTGGTCCCCTGATTACGCAACTTTGATTCCATTTAAGCTACTTCGTATCTCTTACCGTTTCCAAGATCCCTGTAGTGAGAAGCGAATTTGTAACAGTCTGTATATAGGAATTTTTTAAATCGAGAGAGGATCCATCAGCCTCAACACCAAAGATAATAATTCGGTATTTAAAAATAAAAATATTTGTAACATTGACTAAAAATCAGAAGTAGAAAAAACAAAAACAAACAAAAAAAACAAAAAAAATAAAAAAAGAAAAAAAGTATGAAATAAATAAAAATAAAAACACAAAAATAGGTCTTATATAGGTAAATAAAGATAGCGAAATGTAGTTCATCAAATAATTTCGGTAAACGATATAGATTTTGAATCTGAGTTTTTAGCTAAAATTGTTGAAATTTATTATGAAATTAAAATATCCACTTATTGCTTGTGGACTTGAGAATAAGTTTCAAGGGTTTGAGGTTAGGTTTTTAGGGACATAGCATAGGTTTCAGGCTTTGAGAAATACAAAATATTTGCTTCAAAACTTAGTTTTCAAGAAGTCACATTCTTTGGATTGGAAAATATCCTTCTTTTTACTTTCTAGCTCAGATTTCTTGGATTTGAGGTTAGATATTTAAGAATAGAGGTTATAGGGGCTTAAAAAATAAAAAATATAAGTTCCAGAAAATATTTTTCAAGAACTTTTGTTCTTTAGTGTAGAACATACAGGGTGATTCAGAACTTATCCATAAAAAACAATTTGGATGTAAAAATACATTTCTGCACGTCACTGGAAACTAGTCCACTGTAAAACTGACCTTACACAAAGCGAAGTGTAATAATAAAAAAACAGACAAAAACTTGAAAGAATTTCGCAAGGAAAGAAATAAATATAAATTTTACAACACCTATTTTATATCAGCAAATTCAACTGCTTTTGCCGCTATTGCCACTTCACCATAATACAAATGTTGTCTTGCTTCACTATAAATTAAAACGATATCCATCAACTGGAGTTGCTATACGCATGTCATTTTTGACATTTGAAAAACTAATGTAAACACTATCGCAAATCGTTAACACTAAAATCGGATGTCAGTATTCAGAATCCCCTGGGGCCACGTGGAGAAAGAGAGCGCATTGCGGACAACGGGAATGACGTTAGATACTATAACAGCCCAGCGATGTAAGGGTTGAAAATACTACAACTTCAATAATTTTTTTTCTCAGAAACTATAAAGATTTTACAAAATTTTTTTACGATATTGACTCCGTTTTTATGATGCATCTATTCCCAATTTTTATTTTTTTTGGATAAGTTGTGAATCACCATGTATACAACCCTTGTATGTCCACTTACAAAAATCATTTGTTATTTGCACATTTTCGAGTTCTTAAAAACACACAAGCCAGAACAGTTTAAGGGGAACAATTTTTAATTAAAGTAAAAACAAATAGAATTAGTTTTCTTAGTACTTTGAACTCCTGTCCATTTTATTGAGTAGGATATTTCGAGGGGTATTTTTAATAGTTTTTAACACAAACTTCAAACCAAAATCAAACGTCGAGACAAACTTGTGTGTAAGTAGAAGATAAATAGGTGTAATAGTTATTTAAAATTGCTTTGCACCCGTCCTTACTGCTGTTATCTATGTAGTTAAATAGTATTTATACAAGTATGTACACTTTACAAAAATTATACAACGATAAAATTTCTTGTTATTCATCAACAATATCTGGTACCTCTAACGTTTTTACAGGGTTATTTTCATCAGTATTAATAAATTTATTGTGATATTACATTGTACTCAGCGTTTAAATTTGTATTTATGTATACATTGCAAAACCTCTAAAAAAATATATTTTAGTTAATGTTATTAAATATTTTTATTCTTCTTTTGTTCCTAAACCTTCGTTTCCTTTTAGGTACCTACTTTATAAATTTTATACTCGATGTGCATTGAGTGAAAAAGCACAAATAAGTTGAAAACCTTGTTAAATTCATCAGTGTTTTCTACTTCCTTTCGATTTTCCTTCTTACACTCGGTTTGCAGTGAGAATATTCCCACACTTTATTAATCAAATTGATAGTATACGAAGATTTATAAGTCAAAAACGCTGCGTTTGAGGTACAGAATGTTCGAAAGTGTGGTCTTATCGTAATGTTCAAAATATTTCAATTTAAACCAACCAAGATATGACGACTCCATAAAAAGTGAAACTATACAGAATTTAAAAAGATAGTTTCTTAATGCATGGGGAATAAAGGATAAAATATTCGGAGAGAGAGGAAGATGTCCATCTGTAAAACCATGCAGTCCCTACTTAGTTACATATAAATATTCACACTAAAAGCTTTATTAAAAGATTATATATTTACAATATCTTCATATTTCATTGTTTGAGTCTAATATACTATTTTTGTATTTTTCTCCTTTGGTACTTACATATTTCTGTAGATATTCACAGGTCACTTTGATTTTTTTGTTGCTCTGTATTAAGTGATCAAAAATTCTCTGTAAAAAATATAGCCATACAGTAAGACGCAATTGTATTAATAATAATCATTTCTCTCATTTAATACACATTGAACGACATTTAATTAATTACATATACCTCAGCAAGAATAGACCCCAAACCTTGTCCCTGGTATATTTCGGGAATAGAAGTATGCAGTAAATCATACGTATTATTGTCCATTTTCTTATAGGTTACAGTGGCAAAGGCATCATTTATTTTTATTTTCAGTTCTTCCTTCTCGAAGTTATTTTCAATAGGGTTAGTCTTCAGTTTAGACTGCACAGAAAACAATCTTGTAAAATTTCTCAGAGCCATAGATATTTTGTTGTAATGTTTTAATTGTTTAAACAATTAAAAAATATACATTAACTATTAGCAGCCAATTCAATGATTGATATTTTATAAATATAAATTCAATTCACTTCAGTTCTTGTTAAACACAAAACATCTTTAATAGAATTTTAACATTTTTAACTTTTAATGTTTAAGATTGACAGACAGAATTTTTTAATGGTTATGTTCTTATTGGCTTCTTGTTTCTTCTTCTTCTTTCCTTTTATGATGACCTTCGTCCCGTAGACAATTAAAGGTGAATTCTTTCGCTCATGATTTTCAGATCTGATCTAACTCAAAATCAGAGCGGTCGCCATTATTCCATGGCTAGAAAGTGACCTCAATGATTTGGGATCGAGGGGGATTATCCCTCTTTATCCTGCCTCATCTCGTGTAGGCCTGGACAGCCTTCGTAGGTGGGCCCCATCCGTCGTCTACCCCGACCTCATTGAGGCCAATTTCTAGCCATAGAATAATGGCGCCTTTGTCCTGGCTGGGCCCCGCCGGCTAGGGCCCTTTCTTCTGGCGCTCTTCTTGCTTCGCCGGCTCCTCTGTGTAAACCCCGGAGGTGGTGTCATGTTTATGAGCAAATCTGTCTGTTTTTTTTTGCTCAAATAAAGTTGTCCTAAACTTCGCCCCTTAAATTTAAAATCCAATTTAAAACGACAAATTTTATGAAAGTATGTATATTAAGTACTGTACTATAGATCATAAATCATTTTTCCCAAAATTTCGTGCATACATTTAGAATATACAAATAAATGTTGGCAGTAGTGCTATTTTCTAAAAATTATCAATATTTGACTTTGACTTATTGGCTGCATTGCTCCCTTTAATTTGAATTTGACGTACAGCCACAGCCAATAGCTGTGGTACAGCTTTATTTTATATTTTATTAATTTTTGTGGCCAGTACAGTAATTCATCTTTGTCTACGCAATAGTTAAAAAACAATACCTATGGAAAATCCTACTTTGAAAAATATTACGGATCCTAATTTTGGGACTCCACCAGAAATTCAAAATGAAGTAAGAATATATAAAATCTTATTAATAAATTTTACAATTACACGTGACGTTTTTAGGTTATAATGATAACATTTGAATATTTCTTTTTTAGATTTTACAAAATTTAGGAGAACCACACATAACAAGCTTTAACTACCTTACAGAAAAAGGCTTAGATCAAGCAATAGACAATCTCACTCCTGTCGAATTTACATTGAATGAAAGAAGAATAAAATTAGTTATAACTAGTTGTACTTTCCAAAGTCCCGAGGTTCCTTTTGGAACCATTGCTGTGAGACAAAATACGATTTTTCCTACAGAATGTAGACAAAGAGCTGCCTCCTATAAAGGAAAATTTTTCATTCAAGTTGATTGGTTCGTTGATGGTCAAAAACAACAATCCTTTCAGAAAGATTTAGGTGATATACCAGTAATGGTCAAGGTAAGTTAATCTATAATGAGAGTTTTTGTCAATTGACAAGTACTCTTCATACATAAATTCAAATAGGAAGTTCTGATTTGAAAAATGTTTCTTGCTTCTCTTTATTGCATCTGGTTAATGAAGTAGCAGCTGCTTGGATGTTGAAATACTTGTGTTTTTGTTATTAATATAAAATGCAAACCTTTAAAAAAATACTGTATAATTTGAAAGCAGTTTATTACTGATAAAATTTACATGTAAAATCAACCAAGCAAGCAAAGGAACGTCATGGTTTGTGATGTTTTCGCATCTACCTTATTAAAATAAAAAGAATTCAACCCTAAAAAATAATTAATTTTTAGTTTTGTAAGTTTCATATTTCAAGTTATAATTTGCAGTACAAGTAATTTTAATCTTTTAAAAACTGTATGTAGGTTTACGCTTTACATTGGTTTAATATTTGTTATCATCATTATTGTTTAGGTTTTTGTTAGAGATAATTGAAGCAAAACAATTTTTTATAGGTAATGATATTTTTCTACCACTCAGCAATGTCTGTAACAAACAAATAAATACTTGTCGAGTGTTAGTTAGAAATTTATTACAGAGGGTCAATTGTAGGTACTCTTTAAATTAAATGAAATGAGTTCCATTACTGAATACCGATTATTGTTTCTTCTTTATTACAATTTCATTAAATTAAAATTTTCAGTGATAATTGGATCATTAAATGTGGGGTAATATAGTTCTTTAATCAGTTTGAATTAGTGTTAACAAATTGGTGATATTTATCAGGTGGACTTAAAGATTCCAATTTTATAACAGCATAACACTACATTAATTCTTAGTTGACTTTGCTTTATGCAATAAAATCCACAACATACAAAAATGTTTGTATTTTTTTTTAAATAGTAACTATAGTGTAGGTGCAGTTTTAATGTGCAGAGCCAAATAAGTTTAGAATTGTATTTTTTTAATTGTTTTTTCAGTTTTTTGTTTCAATTATTAAAATGTGTACCATTTCCCAATAAGATCCATGTTTAATTTTTTACCATGGTACCATGAACTTTGTATTGGGCTTGCAGAAGATGAATATTTGCAATATAACATACCTAATTTAAATACAATTCAAGTGACATTGTTTTACTGTTGTTTTTATAATTAAGTAGAACTTTTTTTCTTTAATGAATTTTTTTAATTTTTAATTTTTTTTTTTAGTCTAATCGTTGTCACTTGGCCAATATGAAACCAAAAGATCTTATTCAACACGGAGAACATGAACAAGAGTGGGGAGGATATTTTGTAATAAAAGGTCATGAAAAATTAGCACGTATGCTGTTAATGACGAGAAGGAATTATCCGATAGCTATTAAGAGGTCGGGTTGGAAACAGAGGGGTTCTCTTTTTTCTGACTGCGGTATTTCCGTTCGGTGTGTTAAAAATGATCAGACGGCTACGGTAAGAAATTTTGTGACTAATTCACAATAAATATTTATGAAATTAATAGAAAACTACTGGAATATTTGATCCATTATATGTTCTACATAGTGTCATACATATATTGTTTGAACTTGTTTATTTGAGTTATTTATTATATTGATCGTCTGGAAGAAGAGAGTTATATCTCAAAAAGTATAATTTTCCAGGATAGCAGTTTTAAATTATTTTAATGTTTATTTAAGCCTATTCCAAAATGAAAAAAAAAATTAGAAAAGTATTATATTTTATTTATGTGTCTATTTGAGCTGTTTTCAACATAACGTATTAATATTTCATTTTAATATTATAGTTAGAGAAATTTTGAAAGATGTAACTCTTTTTCCGAGAAATTAAACTCGCTTTTGAGATGTAACTCTTCTTCCGGGCAAACGATATGGTTTTAGTTTGATTGGGTATTTTGTCATCTCTGAAAATAAATTAACTGACAGAGCAGATCTCTATATCAAGTTGTTTTGTTTAGCCGCTAGATGGCGTTAAAATTGGCAAATAATTCTTGTTCCAAATAACTCTAAAATGCTTTATCTAACTTAAATTGTTTGGACTTGGCACTTTCATATACGAGCCCAGGCTCATAATAATTCGGCCAGGTATAGTTTTACTACTAATATATTTAAATACAAGTACAGTGAAAATCGGTTATAACGACCTTCAGGGGACCATTTGTTTAAGGTTGTTATAACCGATAGACGTAATAAGCAATTACACATAATTTAAAATTTTTATAGAAAAAATGAGAAATTTACAGTACAAGTCTTTAAGTATGTACATGTACATGTATTACTTTGTGTTCAAAAGAACTCGCGCGCTTCATTTTCAATGAATTGTTTACGAATAGATTTTAGACTTTTTTTCACGACTGAATATTGGTGAATATCTGACTCGTAGTTACTATTTCTATCTCTTTTAATCTTAGTTGTTATATGATAGTTTACATTTTTTCACTCCCTCATACTACACATACTACAACATATGACTTCACTTGCGAAAAAAAGCCTTTTATTTTATTTATATCCTTCCAAATTGTTGAAATCGTAGTGTGATACGCTACATTATTTTGCTTGCTTGCATTAGTTTCTCCGTTTTTTTAATCCCTATATTGCATGTGATTTTTCTTCTTTATTAAACACTTTCCTCTTCGACATCGTGATAGAAAGTGGTAATTAATACATATAACTGTACAAACGACCCAAACATGTAGGTATGCAGGCGGGGCGGGCAAAAGAGCGGTGCAGCATTGGTTTTAAGGCCGTATATCACTATTGGTCCTTATAACCGATAGATTCCATGGTAAATGCATACAAAAATGCATCGCTAAATCCGAAATGTCGTAAACGATGTCGTAGTAAATGATATTTTTAATATGGTATTTCTATAGGAGTTAATCGGGACTTCCAATAACACTATCAAAAAAATATATATTGGTAATAGAGACAAAGTAAAAACTTTTAGCTTAAATACGATTAAATATTACTAGGTAATGATGTGTCAATGACTTTTTTGTTAATAAAAAACATTAAGATTGGCGGTTTAGAATAGTTCGGCTTTTTAATCAAAATTGTATTAAAACACTTTTATTAAGAATAACGGCTTTAATTCTGGCAGGTATTGTCTCTACCAGTTTAGCGCACTCTTCAGAAAACGTGCTATCCCAAATTTCTTACAATTTGATGGATGTTTGCGCAACTGCTTTTTCATTTTATGCCACAATGTCTCTATTGGCAAGTGATCTGGTCTGCTACAGGGCCATAACATAACAGGAACATTATGTTTCTGTTACCATTATTTTTCTTTAATCAAATAGTTTTGAGAGTGTTAGTACTTTTATTGAAATATATTTGTAGTAAAATTATGCCTGACCGAACTATTATGAGCCTGGGCTCGTAAATATTAATTTTTTGACACAGCAACCCAAGTAATTCCAATAACATATTCACTCGCTGAATTTGGCCGTGCAAATTGCTAATTTTCCTAAGTGACTTATATGACGTAACACACGAGTGCCATACAAAATTTTATCCAACACATTCATAGAATTTGGTTTTAGTAATAAATAAAAGTAATTTAAAATTTCAAGTTGTCAATGTCAGAAAAAGTAATTTAACGAAATGAATGTATTTCTTAAATATTAGAGGGGATGTGAGTGAACCTAAATTATGTCTGTAACCAAGGTTTTCGTAACTCACTGATGAGTTATGACTTATAACTCACTAGTGAGTTATAGGCCACATTATTCCTTTAAAACCAAAAGAAATTATAGTATCGTTATATACAAGTGTTCGATAAATTATATTTAAATCAGACAAAGCAGTTTAGAGTTATTTGGAGAAAACTTAAAGTTTTTCACAACTTTAACACTATCTACAGCGAAACAAAACAACTTAATATAAAGTGAGTTACTTACCTTCAAACACCATATTTAATTATTTATTTACTAATTACACTGTAAATCAACAGTTAGTTTCTAAAATTAACCTATTTTTGTATGTACAAATTTAAAATCCTTTACAGGGCAAGTATTTGCAGTTTTGTTATAGTTCCCAAATCAACACTACAAATAAATAATACATTTTCCATTAAATTGTTTATATCAATTTTAATTGGGAAAGGGAAAATATCATCCGTATTTTCTCATGTGTATTTATATAAAAATTATAAATGTAAATTTTAATTAATTAATTCTTAAATGTAATTAACATTTGTGTTTTTGTTTAAGAACAATGTTCTCCATTTTGTAACAGATGGCTCAGCAAAACTTATGTTCAGTTACCAAAAGATATTGTATTACGCCCCACTATGTTTAATTTTGAAATGTCTGTGTGACTACAGTGACCAATACATTTACCAAAAATTGATCCGGGGATTTGAGGATGACTTGTATTATTTAGAGTAAGTTACATTTTTAGATATTTTCTATACATATATATTAAGTAATATTATTTTGTAGCTGTGTTCAGAATATGTTGAGGGCTGTGCATGTAGAAAATTTGCACAGCAATGCCGATTGTAAATCGTATTTAGGAAAAATGTTTCGAGTAAAATTCTACGAATGTCCTGAGTGGTATACAGATGTGGAAATTACAGATTTCATCATAAACAAATGTATTCTTATACATTTGGACAAAAATGAGGAAAAATTTGAATTACTGGTATTTATGACACAAAAATTATTTACCTTCACTCAGGACAAGTGTAAAGTAGAGGGCGCTGATGCAGTTATGATGCAGGAGTTATTGTTAGGTAAGAAAATAATATTTGAGATTTCAGCGTTTAATGGAGTTGCCTGTTGTTACCTTTTTAAATCTGTATAAAACTAATGGAATAGTGGAGAGTGAAACTGCAATGGAAAGTAATATTGTTTCTGTATAACTGTGCAGTGGCGGCTTGTGACTTTTTGAGATGGGTGGGCAAAATATTTTTTCTCTCATGTAACTTAATATCATATATTAATTGCAATCTACGTTAGTCTATTTACTTTTGAAAGTGTAAAAAACTTAAGAATTATGAAGATAGTTAATATAAATATACCTGAAAATTATATTATTCCAAAAGTATACCTAATAGTTCAGCAAGAATAAATGAGAATGTCATCACAGTGATTTCTTGCCGGAATAGGGGATAAGGCAAGGATTAAGGCATAGAAGGAGATAAAAAATTATATAATTCTCTAAACAAATAGTAAAATTCTCTATCACTTTTATAGCTGAAATTACTAACGATAAATTATACTATTCTAATAAGTAAATAAATAAATAAATAAATAAATAAATAAGTCAGTAAATAACCAAATCAATAAGGAGCTTTACAATGTCTCTATTTTCGTCCACGACTTTATTATGGTTTAAAATATTCTCACGAAATGCAGAATCAAGAAAAGTTTGAATGTTTTGTTTTCCTAATAATTTAAATTTTAATGTTGAATATGTATGCTCCTCTGATCGCTCGTGTTTTTTTTAGATTTTTATTTAATAAAAAATTAATAATATCACCATTGCTACTCACCAATTCGCTATTTTCGGCTTGCCATTTTGCTTTACTCCAAACTATTAAACATTAAAAACTTACCTAAACCACTATACTAACCCTAACCTAGAACTTACAAACAACCAAGTCGTGAAGTACAAGGAATAACAAATCTCTACCTTCCTAATCTATGAAATAAAACTAACATCAAACCGCAGATTACACGTAAGTACCCGAAGAATATACGAGTGAAGTCGAAGGGCTTGCCCGGAGAGTAGAGTTATTTTAGGTAATTATGTATATTCAAATGATAATTTATTAAAAATCTGATTGAAATAAAAAAAATATATTAAATAGAAGCTATTTTTTTTAATCGAACAGTTTATTATTTGAAAAAATAAATAAATATGTATCGAATTTAAAAGTCCTAAAAAATAATTTATATCACTTCCATATTTACAAACTCGAATCTATTAAAATATTGAACATTTTTCAGCAATCACTCTTAATTTAGTTTAACAGTAACGCTTCAAAATAACCTTAATAAATATAATTGTCAAAGAACATTCAACATATCATAGATATTTATTTTTTAACGCGATTTACAAATTATTATAAAACGGTTTATTACTTCGTTTACTAATATTTGTTTTCTGGAATACCTTTGCAGGGAAAAATTGTTTTAATGTTCAAAAATTCATTTAAAGAACAAAATTACAGCACATAAATATACATATATTTCCAACCGCTGCTGGTTGGCTGGCGAAAAGCCGTAGCTGGCCGAAACAATACTCGATGAGTATGCGGGTGCGGGCTGTGTCCGGGCTCGCCCGACTTGGGCTAGATATTCTAAATTAGTGAACGACTTACGTTTCCGATTACTCTCTAGTCCTAGCCCTGCGTATAAGCAGGCAACGTACGGCGTTGTTTAATTCAGCGGCCACGGGCTGGCCCGAATGTCATGTTGGTTGCTGCCGAGATTACCCCAAAAATAATTTACATCACTCCCATGTTTACAAACTAGAATCTATTCAAATATTGAAAATTTCTCAGCAATCACTTTTAATTCAGTTTAACAGTAACGAGTTAAAATAACCTTAATAATTATAATTATCAAAGAACATTCAACATAGCACCATAGATATTTATTTTTTTACGCGATTTACAAATTATTATAAAACGGTTTATTATTTCGTTTACTAAAATTTGTTTTCTGGAATACCTTTGCAGGGAAAAATTGTTCTAATATTTAAAAATTCATTTAAAGAACAAAATTACAGCAAATAAATATACGTATATATATTTCCAACCACTGGTGAAAAGTCTTAGGTGGTTGATACAACACTCGATGGGTGCTCAATGGGTATATGCGAGCTGTGTGCGGTGTGCGGGCTCGCCCGACGGGCCAAATATTCTAAATTAGTGATGGACTTACGTTTCCGATTACTGTCTAGTCCTAGTTGCGTATAAGCATGCAAGGTATGGTTGGGTTATCGCGTTGTTTAATTCAGCGGCCACAGGCTAGCCCGAATGTTATGTTGGTTGCTGCCGAGATCATGATTAAAATATAATTTTAAAATTTGGTAGGGGGAGTTTCAAAGGAGGTAACACATTTTAGATTTAATTTTACAAGAATTGTCAAATCACTTTGATAAATATATACACAAATTTTTGTTTATTCTTCTGAAAATTTCAGGGTGGGCACTGTCCACCCTGCCCACCCCGACGAGCCGCCACTGTAACTGTGCAAGGTGGTATTTTCAAGACATCATATTATACTCCAGTTAAATTAGATCATAAAACCAAAAAACTTGAAAAAATTATTAGTAGACATTTTATGACAAGGAAGGGTATGTAGAATGGTAAAATAAAAAAAAAACCCGAAAGAAGTGACGCTAACTTAGCAAATTGCAAATAAGTGGCTTTATGTTTTTTCCCCTTTTTTACTGCCCATGAAAATCTGGATGACCTATTGGAAAATTAGTCTTTTTATGTTGTCGGCAATTAAATTACCTGCAATTTAAGATACCTAGAATAATTTTTCATTAATTTGTTAACTGTAAAATAAAGATCAAACGGAGAAATATTAGGTCAATCTGATGACATGTGTGCCAAACACCGATTCAATTGACCGTGAAATTGTTGCTTCAGCTATTCGTTAATTAATTTTGTTTGTTTTTTTTGCAACTAATTGTTTAATTACTAATCATGTTAATTTTAAAAGTTAATGTTGTAGATATAAGCTCTACTTGATCCAAAGAAACGTATCGAAAAAGAAAAATTTAAAAAAGTTGAAATTAAGTTGCCCTTTACAACTAGCCAAAGTAGTAGTAGTAGTTCGTGAATTTGCACTTTTTGCATTAAATAGAGTTTATTTTTACAGTAATTTAAAAAAAAAAAATAGAAATCTCCTATGCCTCTGTTTTCAAATGATTTTCTTTTATAATATAAATTGTTAATTAACTATTGTACGTATTGGACCGGGATTTTAGAGACAATTAAAGAAAGGGTTAAACTTTTATTTCCAAAAAGTTTTATATTGATAGTTCATGCAATAAACGCGCTAGCAGCAGTAAAAGTTAACGTTAACGAACGTCGAGTCAAAAATCTCGCGTGCGCGAGAGCGACGTTCACGCGCATGCGCGGGCTCGGCGCTCCTCCCGCGTACAGGCTGTTTATCAACGATACCTTTTACTGCTGCTAGCGCGTTTATTACATGAACTATCAATGAATGACTTTAAAAAATGCATTTTTCCAGATGCATTTTGCACTGCACAAATGGAATTTGACCAAAAAACATAATACAAAGTTGCTACATTTTTTCCACATAATTTTAGAAACTGAATGCAAAAAACCCCATCTTGATACGACTTGATCGAAAAATTTTGGAGGTTCAGTGCTTTATTTTCTCGACTATAAAAAAGCGTTAATGTCCTCTATCTTGATAAAAAAAAAATTATAGACCCAGAGTTCTTTATAACATTCTGTTATTCCTAGAATTAATCGAACTTTATTCTGAAACACCCTGTGTGTAATATTAACTACATAAAAGAAATTCAATTTTTAGACAGATATTGCCATATCAAATAAAATAATACAATAAAATGTTTAAATGACCATTCAGTCATCAATGTATCTTTTCATGTTATCTAACAGTTTTCTCTTTTTTAGGGGGACATTTATATTTACAAATAGTAAAAGAAAAATTGCAATCGTGGCTAAATGGCTTAAAAATTAACATTGTAAAACTCTCAAACGCCTCAAATTTTACACTTAGTCCAAGTGAAATCATGAAAGCTGCAAAATATACTGGGGGCATCGAACATGCCTTAGAATTGTTTCTGGCAACGGGCAGTGTAAATAGCATCTCGGGGTTAGGTCTTATGCAAGACAAAGGTCTAACCATCGTGGCAGAAAACATTAATCGTATGCGCTACATGTCCCATTTTAGAGCTGTTCATAGAGGGTCGTTTTTCCAAGAAATGCGAACGACTGAAGCTAGACAGCTTTTACCAGATGCATGGGGCTTTATCTGTCCGGTTCACACTCCTGACGGATCTCCATGTGGATTATTGAATCATCTTACCATGAACTGTAAGGTTACTGATATGCCCGATGAAGAGAAAGTGAAAAATATACCTGTAGTACTAACGGATCTCGGGATGGTTCCATTGAAATATGCTATGACTGTGAACTTAAACAGTAGCTATGTTGTGCAGTTAGATGGAAAAATTATAGGTTATGTTCCGATTGGTGTTGCCGCAAGGTTAGTCGATAAGTTGCGGTTATTTAAAATTAAGGGAAAGAAAGTGCCAAATACGTTGGAAATAGTACTGGTGCCTGTCAAGAACACTGTGTCTCAATATCCTGGTCTGTTTTTGTTTACTGGTCCTGCGAGAATGATGCGCCCTGTCAAGAATTTGTTGACGAATACAATTGAGTTAATTGGTACTTTCGAACAAGTTTACCTGGATATATGTGTTACACCCGAGGAGGCGTACAAAGGTAACTAGTTTATTTTATAACAGACTACAAAAGTTTCTGAAAAAATTAACGATTTGGTTCTTTTTTTGTACTTCTTTGCTTTTGTTTCTCATTCTTCAAGTGAACAAAAACAGAAATGAAATTTATTCTGTAACTCTTTTCTAGTTTCCTTTCTCTATCATTGATTTGTCTTTAGATTTAAGTAATTTGTGATATATAGAATATTGCAAAAAGAATATACGAATACAACGTATAGGAACGTTGAATAAGTTCTCGCTGTTTTCCAACAGATGGCGTTACCAGAACTGCAAGGGTGTAGTTTAAGATGGTAACATACCTATAAAGAGGTGCTATAAGCATAAGTGTAAACTAATTTTTTTTTCATAGTGTTAAAAATGTCAAATTTCGTGCCAAAAAAAGAGTATTTGCAGGGAATTTCACTGCACTATTATCAACAGAAATCTGCAGCTGAAGCACATAGAATTCTTGTTGAGACTTATGGTGACCATGCTGTGTTGTAAATAACATACGGAGATTGGTTTAGACGCTTGAAAAATAATGATTTTGATGTTGAAGATAAAGAACGGTCTGGCGCACCAAAACAGTTTGAAGATGAAGAATTGCACTTGCAGAATCATCAAGAGTTGGTCATACAGCAGTTTTTAAACATTTGAAAGCTTTAAGAATGATTCAAAAGCAAGGACATTGGGTGCTGTACAAGTTAAAACTGATGGACGTCAAACGGCATCTTTGCACGTGTTAACAGCTGCTTCAATGGTAGAAAAGGAAAGCTATTTTTGCGCAAAGTATGGTAATTGGTGATGAATAATGGATATGCTATGATAATCCTAATCATAGAAAATCGTAAGGCAAGCCTGGCAATGCGTCAATATCGTCAGCAAAACTAAATATTCTAAGCTTCTGTTCTGCGTTTGTTAGGATCAGCTGGGTGTAGTTCATTATGAAAACTGCTCAAATCTTCATGGGAGATCGCTATTGACTACGATTGATGCGTTTGAGCTCAATATTGAAGAAAAAATGGCCACTATACGAGCAGAAAGACAATAAAGTGATTTTGCAGCCCAGCCACGTGTTGCAAATCCGGTGATAAACCTACTTGGGAACGCTTAAATGATAAATCCTACCCATCCGTTATATTCATCAGACATTGCCCCTTCCGATTATCACTTGTATCGATCGATGGCACATGGCTTCGCTGAGCAGCACTTCTATTCTTATGAACGTGTCGTTTTCCGACGTGGAATTAAAATGTTGCCAGAAATATGTGAAAAAGTAGTGGGTAGCAGTGGACAATACTTTCCGTGAAATGTTTTTTACTAATTTTTTTAAATAAGGCATTAATTTTCACAAACAAACAGTGAAAACTTATTCAACATCCCGATAGATCAAGTCGTTAACCACAGATACTCCTTGAGTAAAAATAACAAAACTTTCCTTATGTCATTTTTCAATTAGGCGTCTGCTTCAATGCATAGTGTGTCAATATTTCAATTAGGAAATTTCATTAATAATTCTGTTATAAGAACAACAGTAGAAATTTTAAAGTCTAGTTCTGGCTGTTTTTTGTACAATTTAAAATTAATCTTTACAAAAATGCTTTTAATTGGTATTGATTCAAGTATGTTTCTGCGCAACATCTAAAAGCCCAGTATTGGAGATCAAATTTTTCCTCTGTCTAAGCTTCAGCTTTTTCATTCAAAATTACAAAAAGCGTGCAACAAAAAGATAATTTGAAAAACATTTAAAAAGCAAATGAAAATAAAAATATTTTTTTTTAATTTTAACTTTAGCACTCTGTATCTTGAAAGAGGTGCCTCAAATGGAAAATGCTCAGAAGAAGGGCATAAAGAAAGTCCTATTATTTTCATCTAAGGGTTCTGCCTTTAATGGTTTGGCAAATTTTTCTATAACACCCTGTATATTGCAAAAATAGACGTTGCAATGTAGTATTCCGAACAATACGTATTAATGAAATATATTGGTCCATACGAGTATGTTCTTGTTGCTAAAGAAATACATTTTTTTTTACAATGAGTTTACCTGTACGTTAGTAGTGTTTTTAAAAATCGTTGTCAGGCATTAATAAGGCGAGCTCATTCCTATGATAGTATGGTTTCAATGTCAATCGTGTCATTATCAATTTGACCTCAACTAACCTTCATTTATCATTTTCTATTAATTAGCAACAACTATATTTGAAACGGTGAATACGAAACAAGTAAAGAAATAATGAAATGATAATTTACATAAATTTACATACATACATTTTCTGTGACAATCTGTACAAAGTCTAATGGCAGAGTAGGAGAAGAAAGTATAACCATTTAAAAAAGTCCTGGGTTAAATTATGTATGTATACAAGGTGATTTATGTACTTACACTGAAACTTATTATGGCTACAGGTTTCGACTCATTTATTTTTGGTACATCGTATACTACTAGACTAACAGACTTTTGAAGTTGGATTTCCAAAATTCTATGGTGATTTTGCCAATAGCATCCTGAAATTTTATAATTCTGTCTTCAAAAACCCTCCATCAATGGTATATGGTAAATATACAGGGTAGCCCATCGAAAACGTACCGCAAGGCATTACAGGGTAGTAATGAACTTTTCGGCAAAATCCAAAAACAGGTAAAGTTTGCTTCTGAGGGGACAACTTTTGGCGCAAAAAGCATAGCAAAATCTTTAACCCCCTAAGTGAAGGTGCCATCCCCCAAATTTTTTTAAATGGGAATGGGGGTCAAGTGGGGGGTCATTAGAAAGGACTTTTAATTCTCTATACATCGATTCTTACTTTTTGAAAATCGATCCATTATTTTAGAAAATATGCAGCTTTGAAAATACGAACAATATTTTTGACGAGAAATGCGAAAATCGATTTAATTTTACTTCAAAACTTACGGTATTAGCTTGGTAAATTCCTTCAAAAGAATTCGCTCTTTTTTTTTTTCTGATTTGCGAATTCTTTAGCCTGATTTTGGTGAGCAAAAAATTGTCCGCTTTTTGTTTCGTATTTAGATAGGCCACAAGAAGTTGCTAGATAACTGTCTTGTGACTTGTAGTTGAAGAGTACCAATACTGCCGAGTCTTTTAAATTGATTAATTATGGTGTACTCAATTCCAGAAAGAGTAGAAATTATTGAGCTTTTTTTCAAAAACAATGAATGCGGAAATCGGGTCGCCGAACTGTTCAACCAACGGCATCCTGAGAAACATGCGTCTGGAAAAATTGTTCGCGAATTGGTGGCCAAATTTCGCGAAACTGGCTCCGTTCATAACAAAAAGAGGCAGGTTGAAAATCCGGTACTAAATGAACCTACGGAAATAGCGGTATTGGGGCAAGTGGCAATGGATAGTACGCTGAGTACAATGCAATTGGCTACTGCGACAGGAGTGAGTCGTACAAGTGTCCAACGAATATTAAAAAAATACAAATTCCATCCTTATAAGATTCGGCTAGTGCAAGAGCTAAATGAAGACGATTTTGATCGTCGTTTGCAATTTTGCGAAATAATGACTGAACGAGCGATAAACGATAATTTCCTCTTTAATGTGTGTTTTTCGGACGAGTGTACGTTCTTCTTGAATGGTTTAGTGAATCGCCATAATTGTCGTTACTGGGCTGATACCAATCCAAGGATTTTCCATGAGACACACTCCCAACACCCCCAGAAGTTGAATGTATGGGCAGGTATTTTTGGAAATTCCATTGTAGGTCCTTTTTTCCTTCCTGGAAATTTGACAGGCGATATGTACTTGGATTTACTACAAAATGTCATCGACCCAGCTCTAACAAATATCATAGAGGACGACCCTGCTTACAATGAACACGAACTGATTTTCCAGCAAGACGGAGCTCCTCCACATTACTCGCTCAATGTGCGCAATTACCTAAATGAGACGTTTCCAGGACGCTGGATAGGACGAAGAGGTGCAATTGAGTGGCCCCCTCGGTCACCCGACTTAAATCCTTTAGATTTCTTTCTCTGGGGGCACATTAAAAGCAAAGTTTACAGCACTCCACCTGATACCTTGGAAGATCTGCGAGGACGAATCATTAATGTATGTCGCGAAGTAACACCGCAAGTGCTCCAGAATGTTCGACAACGGTTTGAAGACAACCTGTATCATTGTATGCAAGTTGGCGGACAACATTTTCAGCATTTACTTGACTAATACCGTAAGTTTTGAAGTAAAATTAAATCGATTTTCGCATTTCTCGTCAAAAATATTGTTCGTATTTTCAAAGCTGCATATTTTCTAAAATAATGGATCGATTTTCAAAAAGTAAGAATCGATGTATAGAGAATTAAAAGCCCTTTCTAATGACCCCCCACTTGATCCCCATTCCCATTTGAAAAAATTTAGGGGATAGCACTCCCACTTAGGGGGTTGAAGATTTTGGTATGCTTTTTGAGCCAAAAGTTGTCCCCCTCGGAAACAAATTTGACCTGTTTTTGGATTTTGCCAAAAAGTTCTTTACTACCCTGTAATGCCTTGCGGTACGTTTTCGATAGGCTACCCTGTATATCAAAAATACCTACATTCATTTTTAGAAGTTATTCCAAATTTATTTTATTAGAAAAACTCATGAATCAATCTGTTTGTCTACAAATTTTGATTCAGGACTTTTTAAGTGGTTAGAGTTCATCAAGAAAAATACTTTATAATCGTTTCTAGTAATTAATAATGAATTGGTGTGTCACACTTAGTTTGATTTTTATTTGACCACATTTGTTCTAATATCAAATACACTTTTTATGTTGATATTAACAGTATACAATAGGCAGATTGACTCATATTATTCATTATTTCATTTCGTAATCTTATAACGAATTAAAAAATTATTGTATGTTATCATAAACAAAACTATCAAGTTTATAGTTAAATATAGTGATATGCAGCAATTATCTAAAGATTTCCTAGATTTTTACTGAATAATGTTATCAGTTAAAATGTATCTAATAGAGACCTGATTAGTTATTTTTTGTTACACCAAAAATAATTTAAATAATATTTTTACAATTATATACCCATCGTATTTGCAACTGAGTGACAATATTTTATTTCAAATATTGTATTTAACGGCATTCATCTGGTTGCATATAAAAAGTACAGTCAAACTTGGTTATATCAATCTCACACTTAATAAATAGTTACTGTAATATATATCTGTGAATATTGTTTAAACATAGGGCTCAAATACGTCTAAGTTATTGATAAATTTTTTTACAGCAAATTTTTCTGAATGGAATTATAACAACCTGTAAAAAGCAGAACTTACAACTTTAACTTTCAGATTTTTCAATGCTAGTAAAGTTGACCTCACATTTTAAAATCCCACTTTTTCTGAAGTCCCATGTTAAGAAATTAAGCTATTAGAACGAATGTGCATAGTTCAGTTGACAAAAGCCTTATTTTTTATTTGTGGTATATTTAAATTTTTCGTTAATGTCTTACCACTTGTAATATTAGACATATTATATTTATACAAATCCTTGTGGCAAAACATCTGACAAAGTTTGCTATTTTATTTGGGAGACTAAAAAAATAGTGTGTATAATATTCCTGTAACAACAAAGAGAAATTGTATGCATAGAGTAAGGAAAACATTTGAGCATCTATCACCGGATTCTATTAGAGCCACAAGGAACTAATCCGAAGGTGTGAAAAATGTTTAGAAGTTGAAGGAAGACATTTTGAACATTTATTAAAATAAATTTGTCAATTAAATACCTGTGACAGTTGTCATGTTGATTGTTACTTACCTGTTACAGCCAACTTAAACTATGCTAAACAAAATAAATGGAAACACTATTTTAGGAAAAGGGAAATGTTTATTCGTAAATAAAATGAAAACGACTGGGTTTAGGTATAAGGAAACTTTAACAAAGTTACACTCAATTTTAGTACAGAATGGGAATACGTTAAAAAAATTGGGGGTTTCCATTTAAAAATTTCGAGTTTTCCACAGCTTCTGAACATCATATTCAATAATTTTTTTGCCATGTATAAAAATTGAAAAATTTTCATGTCATAAATTAGATCTTCCTCTACAAAATGTCCAATTCGCACAAAAAAATAAACTCGTGTTTCCGGGAAAACTAAATTTTGCCGGCAGTCTGTATCTGTCAATTTTTGCCTAAAAATCAAAATATCTCCGAAACGGTCAATCCTAAGTACGCAGCGTGCTATGTTTTCAACTTAAAAATAAATGTTCTTTCCAAAAATGTAATAGTATACGGGGGTTCCATTTAAAATAAGAAAGTTGGTATCAACTTCCGGTATAACTGGAAGTACAATGATCATACCCGTATCATACCACCACAATTTCAAAAAAAATCCTTCGAGCGGTTTCCCAGATATCTATCAATGGAGTTCGTGGTGAGACACCCTGTATAGTTTATGCTGTGTATTCGTCAGGTTCCAGTGAAATTGAAGTTTTATTCGAGTAAGAGTGGTCACAAAGAAAAATTTCTATTTACCTAATTGAATGCTAAAAACTATACTTTAATATATAAGAATCGAATTAATGTTATCCAAATTTGACAGTACCTACATAGAGCTAAACTTTTAATTTTTTATTATATCGCTAGTTTTAAAAATTCTGCCACACAGACTTTGTTAAAAGGTATCTTGCATTTTAATAATATTTGAGTAGAAATTTCTGGCAAATATCTTTATTTTTATGGTTTTTAAAATTATGTAAAATTGTGCTTCGAAACCTAACAATTTTGATAGAGTTAAATACTTGGAATATAAAATTTTAATATGGTTTAATCCAGTATAAACCATATCTATATTTTCTTGTTAATCAGAATTATATTTCCTTTTACAATATAACGATGAAGGTACCTAGTATGGTATAAATATAGAGGAACGTAAAATGTTCCTGAATTGTGAAAGTAAAATTATAATACCCATAAAATATGCTGTAAATGTTTGCCAAGGTTATTATTAAAACAATTTATGTACATTCTTTTGATTTCTATTAGCAGGAACGTTGTACACAATTACATTTACAAACCCATTTTTTTAACTTACATAAAAATATATAAAACATGTACTAGGTAAACAATTTCCTACAAGTTTTTAAGGGCAAGAAAATATACTTATTCCAAATAATTATGCTAATATAATAACAGAACACATTTTCCACTGGTTGGTGGTTTTTTTGCCTTATATTCAGGTGTGCAGCACAACTAGCTAAATAAAATATATTTGGAATGTGTTCACCTATTGCCATTCTAATCCATATTTGCATTTGACTTTCCTTGTTTATTTGTCTCCTCCAGCAGCATCATCTCGAAAAAACTTCTTAACGTCCTCATAAACTTCTTCGACATGCCTTGTGGCATCTATTTTACGAACTAAATTTAAGTTTTCATAGTATTCAATGATTGGTCGAGTTTCATTTATGTATGTATTAAATCTCTTCTTTAAACTGTCAATGTTATCATCTGATCGACCACTTCCTTGTGCCCCTCGGCTGAGACAACGTTCTGCACATATTTCCAAGGGACAGTCAAAAAATAGTACAAATTGTAGTTGTACTTTGTCTGCCACTGCTTTATTCCAACCATCTAAGTTATTTTGGTTTCTTGGAAAACCGTCAATTAAGAATTTGTCTTTCCCAGAACTATTAATTGCATTTTCTAAGAGGCTGCAGGTTATTTCTACAGGAACTATTTTGCCTTCCCGGATGTAATTTTCTATCAACTCTCCATATTTTGAACCGGGTTTTTTTCGCTCGTCTCTCAATAAGTCTCCCGCCGATAAATGAACGTAACCGAAATTCTCCACTATTTTTTGACATTGGGTGCCTTTTCCAGCACCCGGGCTACCCAAAACGAACACAACTTTTGACCGCATCGGTGTAACTTTGCCGATATTTCTAAGTACACTACTTGCCAATCTCGATAATCTTGCCATGAAACATAAAACACGTCTTTTGAGTTCGCGCACACATAACCTCCAATAATTAAATTGCAAAAATAGAACGTAACCAGCAACGATGATTTGGCAATTACGTAATACTTTATCAAATTTGTCTAGCATTCATTTTAATTTTCTGTTTTCCGCTACTTATCGAATTTATTCGTATTCAAGTTCGTAGTTTACTACAAGTTGAAAATAAAAGCTTTTTTGAAGCGCAAGGGATTTTATTAACATTAATTATTAAGTTGGCTATACTTATTCTTGTCCCTTTCGATTTTTAAATATTTTATTTTAGACAGGGTCGGACTTAACAAATCCAGACTATTAATGATTTTTGAACATTGAATTTTGACGTTGAGTGAGAAATTTCTCAGTCAACGATTTCGAAATGTATTTTAATCTGCCAATTCATTCATGATTAGAATATTTTGTTCTATAAGTATACATAATATATGAATCTGAAACCTATATATTAGGCTTATCTTCATAGTTCATACCTGTAAGTAATTATGCTGATATTGAATAAAAATCATAATTTCGTAAACCAAGAAATATCTAGAAAATGATAATACTACATAATCTATATGATATGCATATTAAACATAATAATTTGAAATATCTAATAGTACATAAGCCGTGATAGTATATTATGAATAATCATGATGATATCCTCAATTAAGATTATTCAGCAAAAATAATTTTAGATAAAATTATATCAAAAATATTATTTATTTAACTAATTGTTTAATAAGTGGATGTTTAATAAAATTATTTTGTATATCAAACAATTAATAACGTTGAATATTATACAGGGTGATCTATTAACGGTATCGAGCGGCTGTATATAGGAAACTAGACGTGCTACAATTATGGGATTTACATGGACACAAGCCAATATATTAATATATTGTCTTCCGTTCTTGCACGGCGATGTCTTCTTACAGAATGTAGTGGCGTCTGGATAAACGCTGAAATACACGCTCTGGAGTAGCGTATTCTATGAGGGTATCGCAAAGCGTATTCTCTTGAAGCTATAACGGCATTTTTAAAACATTGAAAATAAACTGCCAACATATCATACGCTTCCACATTCGTAAAAGGCATTTTCTTTGTTCACAAGTACTTTTCCAACACAAATAACTCTAATTTTGCACGTAGTAAGAGCTGTCACATTTCGTTTGGCATAATTTTTCAGTTGCCTATTTTCATAGGGCTGTCTCGTTATAGAAACAATAATCTTTATAACTGCTCAGATATTTGGAATTAATAAAAAAAATTAAACATTGCAGTTATCAAAAAAATTTCAAAATAAAGCAATAATTCTTTTTAAGAACAAGATTGGTATAGTTTTACAATTTAATTTTGGCTTGGATTATGTCAATGTTATTTAGAGAACTAAATAAAGGAAGATGTTGTAGCACAATCTCACTATTTTAGCAATAACTTGAAAACAAAAACCTATTTCCATAAAAACCTATATTTAATTTTTTTTAGTACAATTACAAAATTTTTCTCATTAGCGTCGTCTACCGTTGCGCAGGGAAATAATATTTTTATTCCTATATCATAAAAATAAATTTTATTAATAGTTCTTTAAAATGAGCCATCGTTTATTGAAATCGATTAAGGCATTTGGAAGTTATGACAATTTAAAAATTTCAAGATAGCGTCCTTCATACTGACGTTGCTATGGTAATAACAAAAAAAAAGTTCAACCAAAACTTGTGAAGGGTTTAACAGTGTATCTAAAAAATGTATTTTCAACTTAGGTAATATAAGCGAAATTTCGAAAAACCGACAATTTTCTGTAACACTAGCAGTTGCGCCCCCTAGCGGCGAAGTTACAAACTTGAAAATATTTTGAATCAATTTCTTTTAGTCGTATTTGTTAATAGATTTTTTACCCCATAATTGTAGCACGTGTAGTTTTCTATATACAGCCGCTCGATACCGTTAATGGATCACCCTGTATATCCATTATCTAGTACTGCTATACTGAAAATATCTCCATTTACTTTTTTTATAGTACCATCTACAGCAAATTGAAAGCAATAATTAGAAAACAGAATTTAACAAATTTATAGAAAATTAAAAATTATACAGTGTGCGAAAATAAAACGGACTCTTATTTAGATTAAGTTACCTTGGTACAATATTGATTTCTTACAAGGTCACAGACCTTTAAACTAAATTTTGTTTTATTTTTTTCTTCTCGTTTGAAATAAATATTTTAATGGCAATCCAAATGAATTTAATTTTATCTAAAATATAGAGACTGCTAAGAATACCTTAAGCAATTTTTTGTTTTTACTATATTTTTTTGTTGGTATTTATCGTAAAAAAGATACCTTTTTGAATATTGCTAAAGTGCATCATTGTCATTGCTGAGAAAAATTTAATTTTCTACTTATTTATCAGAATGATCGGTTATGGAGGCTAAGCATTTGGGGATATTCTTGTTTAATTACTTTACTTTTTTACTTTAACTTTTTTTTTTATTATTTATCAAATGATGCCTCAGGGGATGCAAGCATCCATAACAGGCATTATAGTTTTTTTTTGGTTCACACAATACAATGTGTTACAATTTGAAAGAAAGTATTCTCAAGATATAAGACATTCAATACATATACCACGTACACATCAATTCACATTTACACACATATATATACAGGGTGTTTCAAAAAACGTTCCGCTAATTTCTTGGGTAAATAGAATACTAAAAAATAATGTTAGTTTGGTTAATAAACATGTGTCCGAAAATGCCTCCTTCAGAAGATACGGCTCTGTAAAAGGGGCCCCAAAAATTTTTTTTTTTTATTATCTCTGAGACGGTTTAAGATAGCTAAATGAAATTTAGACCACAAATAGGTTTGATTAGGTCTTGAAAGTTACTGCTGACAAACTTTTAATATTTTGTATAGGACCGTCCCTGGAGGGGGGGTGCCACTTATTTTGCCCCCAAACTTTTTTTTACGGGGACATTTTTAATATTTTGGTAAATAATAATATTTTTTAACAATTTGCCATAAAAAAGGTACTCTTGCTTATTTGAGTTTTAACTTGTTTTACCTAAAATAAGAAAATAATTTGGTTTACTTTTATTAAGTAGGCTTAGACTGCTGATTTTTCTTGTTTGACAGATTGGTTTGACACATTGTTGTTGATAGTTTTGGTTTGTTTAACAAGTAATAACGCTTTTAAAAACTTTTAAAATGAATATGTACACTAATAGTGACTATACCGATATGTTGTTAACATTAAGGGAATGTAATAGTAATGCTAAAGCGGCGAAAAGAAGATATGCGGAAAAATTTCCAGGAAGAACTGTTCCGGATGCAAAAACATTTTTGAATTTAGAGAGAAGATGCCGTGATACTGGAACCTTTAAACCAAAAAAGTTAAATTCTGGAAGACCACGAGTGGCAAGAATTCCTCAAACAGAAGAAAATATTTTAAATGTAGTTGTTGCGGATCCTACGATAAGTGTAAGAAATGTGGCAAGGGCAAGTAACACAAGTATTTCTAGTGTACACCGTGTATTATTGTATCCATTTCACTACAGGCAAGGACAAGAATTATTGCCTGAAGATCTCTATTTGAGAAGTGACTATTGCGAATTATTACAAGCAAGAAAGAGACAGAGACCTGAATTTTTACAAAATATTCTTTTCATCGATGAATCAACTTTTACTAGACAAGGTATGTTTAATAGTCATAACAGTCACTTCTGGGCCGATGAAAATCCAAAGGTTAAACGTATAAGGCATTATCAATATAATTTTAAGTTGAATGTTTGGGCTTCTACAATACAATACAATTTACTATGAATTTTTGGATAATCGTTTATTTCCGCTATTAGAAGATTTGCCTCTTGATCTAAGAAGAAATATTTTTTTTATGCATGATGGGGCCCCACCTCATTTTAGTTTACAAGTTAGAAGATGGCTTACCGAACATTTCTCAAATCGTTGGATTGGTCGGGGTGCCGATGCTCCTATCCACTGGCCACCACGGTCCCCTGACCTAAATCCCTTGGATTTTGTTGTGTGGAGTTTAGTTAAAGAAAAAGTATATTCCAGCGAAATAAATTCCATTGAAGAACTTCAAGCGAGAGTTGAAAATAATTTAAGAATGTTAATTCAAGAACCACAGCCACTTCAAAGAATTATGTTTTCCCTAAAAAAACGTTTAAGATTATGTATTCGGGATCATGGTGGACATTTCGAACATTAGATGTAAAAATCCATACCTACTTATTCAATATTTTTCTGTTTGTTTTGTATTATTTGTTGTTTTTTTTAATAGTTTCCTTTGTTTATTCTGTGTAACTGTCATGCAATGCATGCATGCACCTCTTTTAAGCTCAAAATAATTTGCTCTAATTTATACTTGTTGTTTCTGAAGCAGCCATTAATCCCTGCGTTTATTTATTATCATTATTTTAATTTTATTAATTCGGTCAGCATTACTTACTAAAACCTCAAATAACTCCAAAACCGGTAATTTTTTTTGGCTTTAAGCAAAAGTACCTTTTTTATGGCAAATTGTTAAAAAAATATTATTTTTTTACCAAAATATTATTTTTTTACCAAAATATTAAAAATGTCCCCGTAAAAAAAGTTTGGGGGCAAAATAAGTGGCACCCCCCCCCCCTCCAGGGGCGGTCCTGTACAAAATATTAAAAGTTTGTCAGCAGTAACTTTTAAGACCTAATCAAACCTATTTGTGGTCTAAATTTCATTTAGTTATCTTAAACCGTCTCAGAGATAATTAAAAAAAATAATTTTTGGGGCCCCTTTTACAGAGCTGTATCTTCTGAAGGAGGCATTTGTGAACACATGTTTATTAACCAAACTAACATTATTTTTTAATATTCTATTTACCCTAGAAATTAGCGGAACGTTTTTTGAAACACCCTGTATATATCTATTACATCACAACATCAACTTATATATCATCTACATTTACATTAAGTATCACAATATATCAGTTTCTGACATCCAATATATACTGCTTCATACGTTTTTTAAAACCTTGTAGGCTAGGGTTGTTTTTTAATTGAATTGGAAGTTCGTTATACCAATTTAGTGGTTGACAAGTAATTCTTCTGTTCCCAAAATTTGAATGAGTTGTTGTTATATGATAATTTCGATTTATTCTAGTATTATACCCATGTATTTGATTATTATATGTAAGTTTTATATCGGTTTCAAGGAATTTATTCTTTATTTTGTATACCAGAAGGATACTTTCGTATGTTGTGGTTTCTCGTATATTCATTATTTTTAGTTCACTATACAATTGTTTGGTATTGATACGGTTAAATTTGTTAGAGTTTTTATAAGTCTATTTTGTGCTACTTGTAGGTTATCTAGATCCTGTTCTCTTGCCATCCCCCAAAATTGTGTTAAATAGCTTAGATGAGACTTAACATGAGCGTTGTAGATTAGGTATTTTGTGTTTGTATTCAATCTAAATGAGAATTTTCTGACATGATAGCTTAATTTTCTCAACTTGTTACATAATTTCTCAGTGTGTTGTCCAAAATTTAGTTTATCATCAAGTTAGCCCAAGGTATTTCATATGTTTGACTTGCTCTATTTCAATGTTATAAATTTCAAGTGATAGATTATTATTTGTTTCCTTTGGGTTAAAGATCATATATTTACATTTGTTTTCGTTCAACTTTATATGATTTTTGTCAGTCCATTGGCATATTTGATCCAGATCCTTTTGAGCTTTTTTGTAAACATCCCCTAGCCTACCAGAGTAGAACAGTGCCGTGTCATCGGCAAACAAAGTTATTTTGCCACATAAACTATTATCACAGAGGTCGTTAATATAGATTAAGAACAGTACCGGTCCCAAAACCGAGCCTTGCGGGACTCCACTTTTTACCAAGAGTTTCTCACTTTCCACTCCGTTCACAACTGTCATTTGAATTCTGTTTGTTAAGTAGTTAGTAAATAAATGATGAGCTGGTCCTTCTATTCCAAGTTGTTCCAATTTTTTGAGAAGAATTTGATGATCTACAACATCAAAGGCTTTACATAGGTCAAGATACGAGATTTTGCAGAGCTACATAAAAAGATCTTTAAAAAAAATTGCATCCTATTGTAATACCAGCATTTAAGAAAAACAATTTGAATTTACCTGTTAGCTTAGTAAAAATAAAAAAATTTAAATTAAAATTAAAAATAAGGAAATTGCATTGTATCTTGCCTTTATAATTTATTTTTTAGATAATGTGTACTTATATTGGGGACTAAACATTTTTTTCTTATTTATTGGATATTTTCTATCTGTGAAAAATTTAAGAAATTAATTAAATAAGCCCTAGCGTAAGAAGGATGTCGTGGGTTAGTTTAACCTAACTGTTAAATTTATTATGTATTCTCCTTAATTTTTCTGATAATACACGCATATATGGAATTTTTTATTATCAGAGTATGGATTGTTTATTAGTACATTTTTTATGAATTTCAACTCATTACTAAAAATTTCATCATTTGAAGAAATCATTTGGCTTATCGTACAAAAATTTTTGTAGAAATAATCTTTTTGATTCTATTTTAACAAAACTAAATATAATTCTCTTAATATTTTTTCCGTCAGTTTCACTATTTTTATCCGAAAAAGAGCAAATTTGAAGCTTTAGTTATGACAAATAATACATAAATTAAAAATGCTATTTTGTAAACATTTTATATAATCAACATATGGAGTGTAGTAATAAAAAATTTACGTTACATTTATTTTATTCAACAAATTACGCTTTTTTTGTAGGAGTTACAACTCATATGGAACTGTCCAAAACAGCTTTCCTTTCAAATTTAGCACAACTTATCCCGATGCCAGATTGTAATCAGTCACCACGTAACATGTACCAGTGTCAGATGGGTAAACAAACAATGGGAACACCTTGTCATAATTGGGATTTGCAGTCTGAGACTAAACTGTATAGATTACAAACACCAAGCACTCCTCTTTTCAGACCTGTCCATCACGATAACATTTTTTTGGATGATTTTGCAATGGGAACGAATGCCATTGTTGCCGTAATCAGTTACACTGTAAGTACTATTGTTGCATAATGTATGTTCAGTCTGTATCCGCATATTTCTTTAATGAAATTTATAGGGTTATGATATGGAAGACGCTATGATAATTAATAAAGCGTCCGAAGAACGTGGTTTAGCACACGGTTCGATATACAAATCAGAATTTATCGAGTTAGATCATCCCACTTCTTACTTTGCTAGAGATCCTGATGCCAAAAATTTATCTCAGTACATGGATTCTGATGGCTTGCCATATGTAGGAAGGAAGATATCTAATGACGAGCCTTTATACTGTTTTTATGATTGTGACAAGTCCACATATGTAGTAAAGATGGTTAAAGGCAAGGAAGAGTGTTATTTGCACAGTGTGAAATTGTGTGGAAGAGTAGAAGTTAAAAGTCCTTGCAAAATAGCTTGCTTAACATACAGAGTTCCAGTATGTATTGTTTGAGGTATCATAAACAATTTTTACATAGCTTTATATTTTCAGCGTAATCCCAGTGTGGGTGATAAGTTTGCTAGTAGGGCTGGCCAGAAAGGTATTTGTTCCCAGAAGTGGCCTGCTGAGGATTTGCCGTTTACGGAGACGGGTGAGTTTTTATTGCTTTAAATTCAAGCTTATGTTGGTTGTATCAGGGCAGCTGATTAGTTGAATGTAAAGTTCTGCCATAAATTTTTACTTTGACAGTAGTTTCCTTGAATCAAATTAGACTATTTCAGCTTAACAATCATCTGATAAATCTTAGCACTTGTGTTATTTTCGGTCTGTTCCATTGGCCTGTTTCAGTAAGTCACTGTCTATGACGGCACACTACAGGACTTTTGACAAATTGTCTCAATTGTTTAAATTATATTGACATTTCTTATAAGTTATAACAAATGTCAATAACCTGGTGAGTTGTATGTTTGTGTTTAGGTTCATGTTATTTTAAAATTTATAAATTAAAAATTTTAAAATGACGTAAAATATCAGAAGGTTATCACTAATGTGTTGATGACGTTAGCTCAGTTTCTTCAAAAGTGCGATTGTACATGAAAAATTTAGATATAACTACTTTGTATGGACTAGGAATGAAGTAAACGGTATATATTTTAGAGTTTTAAGAGGGTAGATAAAAAAAATGTAAATTAGATTAGATTCCTGAAATGTGGATAATGTAAACTGCTGAAGTGTCAAAATTAAATGTCAAAGATTGACATTTATGGCCTGTGATATGTGTATCCAGAAAGTAATTGTGGAGTCGACACACTAAAGGTTTGTCATTGGAATGAAGTTTAACCCTAAAGCTACCTTGTGGCTTTACACTGCTTTTATTAGATCCTGAAAGCACTTATGCATCTATGGTATGATGGCCTGCAATGCGCTTGGACAAACTACGACAACTGACATGTGTCACCACAATAGGAGCATTAAGCACAACTCCCACAGATGACCTAAAGGCTTTCCTGTCACTTCCGAAACTACTCCCTTACAGGCAATATGGCAGTTTTATACACACTTTTGTCCGACAGAATTATCAGCTCCTGTGCAGTTTTGAAGTGGGTCAATGCTTTGTCCTTGTTGGGACCGGAAAATCGTGTGAAGCTAATTTGGGTTTCTGGTTACAACAGTGTGAATGGCAATGAAAGGACCGACATGTTGGCCAGACAGGGCTAGTCGATTTGTGGAACCAGAACCAGTGATCTGTTTACCACATTATTATATGACAAGATCCATTGACACTTGGATCAAAAAAACAATTAACAGAAAAATTGGTATGCGGACCTAGTTTTGCTTAAGACCAAACTTCTTATAAAGGGCCCATGGGCTCGAACAAATTGGAAAATGAGCATGCTGAGTAGAAGCAACAATTGGATTTCACAGGACTTTTAACTGGTCATGAACATTTTAATAAGTACGTCAAAAGAATTGTGCTGAGTACTAACATGAGATGTAGATTGTGTGGACACGTCCTGGGGGGTGGGAGCGTTTGTATGTCACCTCAGGACATCAAAGAGGTTCTAGCAGCGTAGGTTTATTTTATAAAACTCTTACTATAGTAGAACCGTATTCGATGCAAAGTAGAGCAAAAAATTGTCGGCCTTTTATCAAAGGAAAATCGTGTCATCATTTTTAGGATGTGTAAGATAAACCATTTCAAATTTTAAATGAAATTGTAATATCTGAAATACTGCATCATACGGGTTGTGTTCTGGTAGTTGCTGTAGTCGCCCAGGTGCTTCGAGTGTACGAAGTGGTCGATTATACGTCAAATATTAACATGGCACACTTGGTCGTAAATCAGAGACCACCCACAAAAAACAAGTAAAAAACAGAGGTAAAATGTAATACATATGTGGAATTTAAAAAACAAATTGGATTTATGATAAATTACATTTAAAATAAATAGTTTATGAGAATAAACAAATTTTTGTAGGAACAGGGGTGCCAGATGTGAACTGATCCCTTCATCCCTTCATAATGCATAATGAAATTATTCAATTTCTAAACCCCTTAAAACCGTACTGCACTAGATCCCTTGACAGGCAATTATTTATTACTTTGCATCGAATATGATCCTACTACAGCAGCATGCACAATGAGTCACAAGACCACTGTGTTGTAGGCTACCATTCCACGTTTTCACACAACAGAGTAAACAAAGTACAAAAAAATTCAAGTCCTTTAAAAGTGATAAAAAAAACTGAAGATAAAAATTTTCAGACATTGTATCACGTTTGTCATCAACTTTTGCCACTAAGGTATATTTAGTAAAATCAGTCTATTTTAATCCAAGACCGCTACTGTCAAGGTATGGCCCTTTAGCTACCGAACACCCTGGATAAGGTAAGATATAAAGGTGAATTTGTTTAAATTTTTTATTTTTAGGACTGGTTCCCGACATTGTGTTTAATCCTCATGGTTTCCCGTCTCGTATGACCATTGCTATGATGATCGAAATAATGGCAGGGAAATCGGCTGCCTTGCATGGTCTCGTGCACGATGCCACTCCCTTTAGATTTACTGAAGAAGATACGGCTATAGATTATTTTGGTAGGCTTTTAGAACAGGGTGGTTATAATTACTACGGGACTGAAACTATGTATTCTGGCATTGATGGTCGAGAAATGACCGCACAGATCTTCTTTGGTGTTGTACACTACCAGAGACTAAGGCATATGGTTTCGGACAAGTGGCAGGTTAGAAAGCATAATGGACTGATGCAAACGTTGCACCATAAAAGTTTAAATAGTTCGTTTTCTTTTTCATATTTTATATTTTTTTAGGTAAGATCTACTGGCCCGACAGATATTTTAACTAGGCAACCCTTGAAAGGAAGAAGGAGAGGTGGTGGTGTTCGTTTCGGTGAAATGGAACGTGATTCATTGATAAGCCATGGAGCATCGTTTTTATTGCAAGACAGGTTACTGCACTGTTCGGATGAAACAACGGTTCGTAATTTTCCCTTTGATTTTAAATAAATGAATTCATTCACCTAATACATACATATTAAACAATATCACCAAATGTATTTGGTTGCTTCATCTTGGTTTGTTCAGGAGATATAGAGGGTGGACCAAATTCGATGGAGTTTAGGGTCTGGTTTTATATGACACAAAAATGGATGAGCTTATGATTTTTTTTCTGTCACTGTTTTACTCAAAAACGTTTGTTAAGAATGTTTGTGCCATTTTTCGATTCGGTACTTAGATTGTTAGACAAACAAAATTTTCTGAGAAATGATCTCGAATCGTAAAAATGGAAAGCTGGCAGCGACCAAACACATAGGCCCTGGCATAACAATCCGAAAAAACTATTGTGCTGTAAATATCAGCATAGGCCACAAAAGTTTTAAAACCACTATAGCTTCTACTTCTTAATACAAGGTGAGCCAGTGAAACGGGACGATTTCAAAAAATTTGAAAACATTCAAGAAATCATGTTTTGGAAGATTTATTGATGAAAACATAATCTACACAATGGATGTGTTGTGTAAGTGCACAAACATTCATTTTTAAAAAATAATGTTCGAAAGGTGGTCTCCATTTTGTCGCACACATTCTTGCAGTCTTGTTGCAAAGCTACCCATAACATTGTGCAGCGTTTCTAGCGGTACTGCAACCACTTCACCTGGAATCCTTTCTTTTAATGCTTGGATAGTTCTTGGAGGGGGTTACTTTGATACACTTTTGTTTTTACGTACCCCCAAAGGAAAGTCGCATGCGGACATACAGGAGAACGAGGTGGCCTGTCATAGTAAATCCAGAAAAAAAATTGTTCAACATATTCACGTAACGATCAGAGTTCACAGTTACTGCGTTCTCAGCTTCGTTCTCAAAAAAATAAGGGCCAGTTATTCCTAACCAAGAACCCGCTCACCACATCACTTCAACTACTCTGAATATAGGGGTCTTTCGTGTAATTTCTGAATGTTATTGTTGGACCAATAACGAAAATTTTGTTTGTCGACGAAGCCACTAAGGTGAAAGTGGGGGCCCATCACTCATCCAAAGATTGCAGCACGTAATCGTATTCATTGATTCTTTTTTGTGTTGTTGAACCATTGGTTTCAAAGTTCCTAACCCACTTTTGAATAGCGTTGTTAGAGAGTACACTACCGCGAAGTGATAAACGAAACGCTCTTCTCGCACGGACAAAACGTTCCCCATTTTGGTAATACATTTTGACAGCAAATGCGTGTTGTTCACCCGATCAAGTTTCCATAATAACTAACTTCCCACTCTCTAGATTTACAACATTGACAGATCAAGTCTGCCTCCCCTCTACTTTTTCTGTAGTAGCGTTTCTAAATTGTGCCATTTCATTGACTCACCTTGTATATAAGGTATCAAAAAAATGCACCATACTTTATGAGTACCTTCCATGATTAAAAATAAACTGATTCATATTAAATTATCTTAATACAATTTTAGTTCCTTTAAAACTTAAGTCAGTATCAGTTAAAGTAAAACATTTTTTTGATAAGTTTTTAATGAAGTAAAATTATATTATGCTAACTTAATCTAAATCTTATTTTAAATTTTATCCAAGAAAGCTATCCTTGAAGTTTAGCCTAGTTCTGAATACTCTGTATACTAAGGAATGGAGGGATGGAGGTTAGTTAACTTGCATTAACCAAATTGTGTTTTTCAATAAGAATATAAGTCTTTCCGATATCAATTGAAGAACCAAGACGTTGACAGTATGTACCAGGTTCGGTCGCTGACGCAGCAACTCGGCATTCAAATATTTGAAAAACTTGTTCCCATATTTATTTAACCATACCCATATACAGGTCTGGTCGAATTAAACGTGGAGGTGGTAGAAATGTATACGCCCAGTTGAAAAATGCGAACGCGAGCAAACGAAATCTAACACAGCTGCATTGGGCCACTGTTCAATAAATCTCAGCTGTTGTCAACAGCTGAGATTTATTGCCAGTCTTGACAAATTGCCCAGCAGTGCAGTGCAGCAATGCGGAATTTGGTGTGATTCAGGTAATTTTAATTTTTTATAGACACCTTCTATTAATCATTGATATTACAATTGGGAAAGGGAGAAATAATGTTACTATAACATGGCATTTTGGAGACCTTTTGAAACAGAACAAAACGAAATTTACCATCAATATAATAAAATTGTTTGAGGACATAAATA